GACGCTCTGCTGTACATACATTATCTGTTATAAAGGCTAGAGTTACCTTAAAAGTGCTCTAAGCCGCTTTTATGATCCACGTAATACATTTATGTGTTACTTCTGTGTAATAGTTATTATTATTACTGCATCAGTCGGTTTTTTTTTTTTTTTTAATGACAACGATATTGAACTTTTGACCCAATTCGACTTTGCAAAAGTCACGTAATTCCCAAATCGGTATATTTTCGGATACAACTCGTGTGAACGCAAACGTGCAACGCAATTCAGCTGCGCTGAAAATTCGACGTTTCGTTTGCACCTCTTCGCGACCATACGCTTTGTGTATCGCATGAAAGCGAACGGAATTGTTGATGATGTTCGCCGGAAATCTTTGTACGGATTTAATTTGCTATCACCGAATGCAATATTTCTTATTTCGACGATAAGTCACCAACGTTAAAATGAAAAGTAAAAGCGTGCTACGCCCGTTGAACCTTTAGTCGCGCCGCAATCTTCATTAAAAGCCGGCGAGTAACTGCCTTTTTCTCGTGGTAGTTTAACTTTTGCACTTTTCCAGATTCCCCGTGGCCTTTTCTATGGCTTTTTCGGGATACAAATCAACAGAACGGTCGTCGTTATGGGCGGTATAATTTAAAGGGGACCAAAACCGCGTATTTATTTTGCATTTCGGCAATTTATTTGGCGTTTCCTGCGCCAGCGAACGGTGATACGAACGTAACGCGGCGTACGGTCCTTATATCGTGTATTTTGTATATTGAGGTCATGTGACGCGACACCTTGTCGTCGTTGTCTGTGCCATGCAATCTAATTACAACGATCGAAAAAGAACAAGATTAAGGTCGATGGCTCTGTGTTTGCTTTTATGGTACCAATACAAGTGCGCTACATGTATCTATGTTCTGCGCGAGGTTGTTCGCGAACCAGTGTCGGCACATTAACCGACGCGGCCACGGGAGTCCGCGAAGTTTCTTATTGCGCCCTACGACACACTAAACGAATAACTCGGCTACGGTTGGCATCGAGGGCGGGTTCGTTGCAAAGTTTAGCACACTTAAAAGTTTTCAAAACACAGCAAACATTTTTAGCCTGCCAGTCGACGTCCTCCGCCGTTAGTTTTTAGCAATTTCAAAGTTGCCCGCAGGCACTCGTGTGTTTATACATCTTTGTACGTTGGCTTTAAAAAATATAAAAACTCCGGAAATTGGTTCGTATTTTGTCTGATTAGATCACGGCAACTTTCGACGTTTTCTTCCAAAACAAAAGTCCCTTTGTCGCTCATCATTCAGACGGTTATGTTTAAACGCGACGATTTCTATCGCAATAATACACCTTGCTAGTTTCCTTGAAACTTTTCCTCGCGGGATTCAAAGAAAAACTTTCATGAAAATAGTATCCTCTTCGTCGCTTCCTCGGGCAGTGGACGCTAAAAAGCTTATCCTACGTATAATTTACGACTCGTTTCCTTTGCGGGTCTTTATCGACACCGGCGACACGGCCTGTGCCCTGGCACGATACAGCCCCGAGGTCGTCCTTTTCTCCCGTATTCCCATTTCAAAGTCCGCTGTTCCATCTCTCAGTTTCCGCCGTGAGCGCCCACAACTATCCACCGACTGTTTTTCTATATAACTCAGACACACCTTTTATTTATAGACAGAGCAAAAGAACACACATTCGCCCCTATTGTCGCTTTTGATTTTTACGGGTAATTATTTTGGCAGCGTTTCGAGAAGGCGGTGTTGTATAACCAACAACAGGACATTGCAAGGAAAACTCATTGCCAGCGGTGTGTTAATAATATCTTCGACGAATATACGCCAGCGTTTAAAAAGTGCTGACTTAGGTTTATTCCTCGTAATTCCTTACACTTCTACGGGCACCGAAATGTAATTAATTAAATTATATTGAGATAGAAATTTTTTGTAAATATAAATAAAATGTAATTTAAAATTAAATAGACTTAAAATGTAAAAAAAATTATTGATGACTACTAGTTCGAAAACTTTATTTGAAAAAAAATATTTTGAACGTTAAAANAATTCCTTACACTTCTACGGGCACCGAAATGTAATTAATTAAATTATATTGAGATAGAAATTTTTTGTAAATATAAATAAAATGTAATTTAAAATTAAATAGACTTAAAATGTAAAAAAAATTATTGATGACTACTAGTTCGAAAACTTTATTTGAAAAAAAATATTTTGAACGTTAAAATAAGCAAAAAAAAAAAATGATATTGAAGTATACAAAATGTTTGAAACCGTATTTAAAAAAAAATACTGAATCAGTCCCTGGTCGTCTTTAGATATCTATTATGCTATGTATTAATTATAATAATGTCTTTATATACATTTTATGCTAAGGTTCTAAAATATTTTCAGCGAAGTTTGATTAAGGACTTTGTAGATTTATTTAATCTAGTTTCATTTTTATGATCTTTTGATCTAGTTTTAACATATCTGTTTGTTTTATCAATGTGCATTTTATTTTCTGGTTTACTAAGCTTATCAGTTGAATTATTTTTAATTTGGTTATTGTTAATTTTGTAATTTAAGGTTTTTATTATATTAATTTAAGTTTTGAATGCTGATTTGTTATTGTTAATGTTGTTTGAAAATGTTTATAGTAAATTATAGTTGATAGGTTCTTGATTTAAAATGTTAGTATTATTATTGTTTATGGTTTTTAACAATAACTTATTTTTTATCAGCTAAAACTATTTCATTTGATTTATGTACTGGTAAAATTTCACCAATATTTGTTAGAATCTTATAACTTATCGGTTAATTATAAAATTGTATTTTTTAGTTTTGTTGTTATATGATTCAATTTGCTAAATGTTTTTTTAAAAATTTATTATTATTTATTATTTAGTAGAATTTTTATGATAAATTGTGTTGTGTTTTTTAATAATTGTTCACTATTTTATCATATTGTAATCTAAAGACGAAGAAATTTCGAAACTAGTAGTTTACGTACATAAATGTATATGAAAATAAGGACTTTTTTGTTAAATAATATTCCTCTAAAACGAAAATAATTGATCTAGTCGAGTTTGAAATTTAAAAATTCGGCACTTACCATCGGTAACGATTTGTTTTTGTGTTTTCTTAATACAGTAAATCAGTCGTGGCGTTTCCTTTAAATTAGCTTTTTTACTGAATAATTTCCAATGAAAATGTTTCTTTTTCTTTAGTAATAATGATAGCAATTAATATGAAATGACGGTTGGGGCGGCTTTGGGCGACGCTTTTTCATGTGAAAAAAATACCGACTCGCCTCAAAGCCAATATCTATTCTCACGGACTGATAAAACAATAGGTTTCCGCCATGACGTGTTCTGTGTGTACTTGTTGAACGTCGATAATCTCAACAATGGTTTTTGTTTGTCAGTGAATATTTCAAACGGCTTGCGATAATAAGTTTAAACCACGTTAAATCTATTGACCGTTTTATTTTTTTCAAACATTTATTTTAAAACCCGTGCTAAATGGAATGTAGCATACTTATTTAATAAAATAGAAAAAAAATTGTTCTACGACAAAACAAAGTTAAAATATTAATTTATCGTAACGTTAAAATATTATTATGTCATTAAAATGGTAATTTAAGCTTGTAATATAACAGTACTACGACAGCGCGTTCAAATCTTAATTTACGTTTTATATTTATTTCCAGTTGTGTGTATTTTTTTAGTGAAAATTAGTCCGTTGATGTATTCGCAAACCGTTTTTGTATTTTCGCTACTGCGTTGCAAGTGTCACGCATCATTTTATCTCTCTGAAAATTATCCGGAACCTATTTTAATCCTTTGCTACTTAAAATTAAAAGAAAAATAACCGTCGGACCGCAAAGCGTCTACTTCCGCGCAATTAAAATGGACATTTGTTTATTTTTCTAGTTGAACATTTTTCATAATTTTGTACGTCCAACTCTTAGACCATTTTCTCTCTAATTGAACAATTCTGCCGGTACGAAACTGTCCGACTTATTCATCACAGGAAATTTAGCGACCGAGGACTAGTATTACACGGCTTCGGGTCAGCGATTGAAATCGTCGACAACATCCCCGTGGATATGGTAAAGCACATACATCAAAACATGACATTCGAAACCGAAACTCGTGTGTCATAGTATTTACTATATCCGCGTATGAGACGGGACACGCGTACACATGTTTGCGCCCCCACTGCTCGGCGTTAATCAATTTTGCGGTACCGAGTTATTAAATTTAATAACTATGACAAGTCCCACGCCCGGACACTCGGTACCGTACTGCCCATAAAATGCATTGCATTATAATTCTATAAATACACGCATACGTCCAAGTGGTGGTGTGCATTATACACATTATGCAATATAATAAAAATTGTGTTACGGTTCATTACGTTAATAAACACGATGGTGACTTGCGGGTCAGTTGGCAATCGAGCCGTCTCTAGGGTCCCACGGCCAAGTTCTAATTATACACAGTCAAACCACGGACGTTTGTCACGTTAAGGCCACCAGCAGCAGCCCGGCCATAGTCGTACGGAAGGCACGCGGCGTGGCGTTAACCAAATACAATAACGGCCGTTAAGCCTTGGAATTAAATACGTTTGAACACGAGTACATTACTTTAAAAGAGACGGAGGTGGGCGCAAAGTAGTGTAATTACTTGCAGCGCTCCGGGTACATGATCGCGCGGTGCACGCAAAACGCGAAATCGCCAGTGAGACGCTATCGCAAAGCTTAATAGTTAGACTTACGGTGAAGTTTTCCGCAATAGTTGTGCAGTACTTACCATAATCACGTACGACTTTATTAACAACACTCTTGTAGTTTGCCCATCGCTGCCCCGAGTACTTTACTGCGCATAAATAATTCGCTTGCTAATGCTGTTTACTTAAAAAGTAACTTGTTGTTTTGTCCCTATCGATTTGAGTCGCATTATAAATGTTTCGCTTGTTTGTCTGCCAATCGCTATTAGATATTTCATATTGTTACTTGTCTTGCAGGTGTGCCTTTCCCACCGGGTCGAAAGTTGACCACGGCCGAAGTATGGGACCAGAGGACGAACAAACCGCGGCCGGACATTCTCAAGCAACACTTCATTTTGGAGGGTCGGATAGACGAAGCGGCCGCGTTGCGCATAGTCAACGAAGGTGCCGCGTTACTCAGGTCCGAAAAGACCATGATCGACATTGAAGCTCCAGTTACCGGTAAGAAAGCACAACAGCTAAATGATTTTTTACTTACAGCTGTCAACGACGATTGCAATAACTCGGTGATACGGTGTAAGGTTGGACCCCGCTTGTTTTGACAAAATAATTGATCCCTTAACTTGCGGGGAAACTTAAAATAATTGATTCCAATTCTCGGTTGGTTCGAATTGACAAACGGGGTCTTAGAATGAAAAGTATAAATATTGCGTTATTATCGTGTAGTACTTAATATATACGTATTTTATGGTGGCTACGTTTTGGCGGGTTGGGTCGTTTACAGTTGAAATAAATGTAAACGTGTGCGGCGGATGTCGCGTTTAAATCCGTCCGACAAATTCCGATTGCAATATTGTTGTTCTCAAGACAGTTCAGTGCGTGTTCGCGTATACACACACACACACACAAAACTATATAGTTGTACGCGCAAGTGTTTGGTTTGCAAAGCACGTCCGGCGAACGTTTCACTGAGTACGCGGCCTCTAGTTGTCGCGCGTTTGCTATTCCGCAGCTACTGTTTGTTTAACTGCACCAGGCAAAGTCTTCGTTTTCAGGTTATCGTGTCTGTACCATTTTTATTTTTTTCATTAAACTTTTTCTGTCTTGAAAAGATACCCGTCCGCCGGACATAATTCTCAAGAACGTACCGGCCAAACACAATAGGACGGGATACGAGCAGAGACTTATATTAGACTCTTAAAATAGTTGACGGCGTTCCGTAGTACAATACACTCGCTGATAGTAACACAAAGAGCAACGATGTGAAGGTCTAACCTCAACGACTCTCTTAGTATTATCTTTGTAAACTAACGAACATTGTACTCGATGGCCATAATATATTTTGAGGTTATTAGGAATATTTTTTATATTCTTAATAACGTCAAAAGATGTCGCTCGGCTAGTTTACCTTTTGTTTTCTGACGGGCAAAAAGCTTCTTCGACCTTCTCGCCGTGACTGAATGTAAACACGTGTAATGGGCAACATGAAATGCACACGTGACGCGTCGCTATGTAATTTGAATTTTTATCGTCCAGTGAAATCTAAACTTTAGAAGTTTACTAATGGCTTCTAGCGCTAATTAAGTTCGAGGGGTGAGAACAGACAGGATGTCGCCCAAGTTATCCGTTCCACGATAGTGTTACAATAATATTGCTTGTTATTTAATGTACTCTCCAAAGTTTAATGTTTCTGCGAACTCCAATAAAAAACAATTTCTAGCTTATTCCAAAACATTCCTTGGCCACTAAATTGTATTTTCAACGAATAACTATCTAAATATTCACTACACCGTTCTAATTGTTCGGTGTCATCTACGAAAATTAAATTACGGCTAATTAAAATTTTTAAAAACACTCCATCTACAAGCGTGTATTATCATGTTGTGTATTGAAGTAGTATATATGTCTTATTACCAATCAACAAAAAAAAAAATCTTTCCAAAAGTTATTTTTGCTCACATTTCCGCGAAAATCTTTCAATGATTTTAAATTGTACGAAAATAAATGTCTACAATAGTAATTACGACATCTTTCGAAATTTATTTTCTAAATAAAATATCGAGTTATTTTATACGAAATAGTCTAGTTTTATTCAATTAACGTAATACGTTGTTGGATTGAATCGAACAATTTTTTATATTACAAACAACTCTCGGAATTGTATGCCTTTCAACATCAATAGCACTCGTGTATTCTAGAGAATTATAAATGAAGTTCCCTTGTGTATTGAATCAAGTATTACAGCTTTGTAAGTTGAACTTTCTCTGCGAATGTCAATAGCAACATAACACCGGGTGTCCGTTGCTTATCATTATCTACAAATGTAAATAAATATTTTTATCGTAATTTGATAATAAAGTTATTATCGTGACTATAATTTTATGTTTATCTTTTCAGTTTGTGGCGATATCCATGGTCAGTTTTATGACCTTATGAAACTTTTTGAAGTCGGTGGTCCACCAGCAACGACCAAGTACCTTTTTCTGGGTGACTACGTTGATAGAGGGTATTTCAGTATAGAGGTATTGAATTATAAATCATATAAACTGTATTTAATTAAAGTGAAAAAAAGAACACATGTGCTATTTACTGTCCAATTATCGTTTATCGAAGTATTCTGTTTAGGATTAATCCCAAATTTAAAATCTGTAAAGAGTTGTAGTAATTCTATTAAAAGTTTTGAAATCGCATGTATTGTGACTTACGTTTTGTTTTGTTTGTTTTAAAGTTAGTAAATTAGATAACGTTTTATATCAAGAATTCTAAAATCTAATTAAAAAGCGGTCAAAACTATTTTGACCGCGAATTCGTTATAATTTCTTACACAAACTTAACTGTTAACATTAAATTACCCCCTTATTAAGCTCTCCAATCAATGGCACAATGAACCAACCATAGAACCTTATGTAGTACAATTTTGTCTTTGTCTGGAAGGCAAATTGCTTATTATATCAAATCAAAGAAACGTATAATAGTGTAACATAATTCTGTTTTCAGTGTGTTCTGTACTTGTGGGCTTTAAAATTATGTCATCCCACTACTTTGTTCCTTTTAAGAGGAAACCACGAATGTAGACATTTAACCGAATACTTCACGTTCAAACAAGAATGTAAGTTATGCATTTATTTTTTAAATACGCAATACTTAGTATTTTTCTTGTTAACTGATTATACACTTTAGAAAATTATTTTAATGCTTAAACGGACTATCTGCTATTAATTAAGTAAATATTTAGTCTATGATTATTAGCAGTAATCATAGACTAAATTCTTTATTATTTATAATAATTTATTATTATTTAGAGAATAATTATTATTACAATTAATTTTGCAATAAATGATTTTTTGGCATAATATTCAAAATAAGTCCAAAATTATATAAAAAAAAAAATAAAACAGTTAAAATGCAGTTTTATTTTAAACGTTTATCATTTTAAGTAATTTCAACTCCATTCACGTATGTTTGCCGTTAATTATCTGCGAGTCGACATTCTCTGTAGCAATCTACCAGTAATTATGAGACTTCCATTAATAGTTTCTGTGCTTCATTTTATACCAGATTTGAGCTATTTTAAGTAGGCAATGATAGTCGCCCTCTGGATTCGTCACTTATATTCATTATTACTGTTTTGATAAAAAAATCAATCAAACAATCAGTATTCTTGCAGATAAATAGAAATCATGTCACAAATTCCTTCGAAAGAAGAATACGCAGTCAACATACTAATGTGTTCATTTTTTATTATACGGAAATTGTCTTGGTTTTCAGGTAAAATAAAATATTCCGAGCGGGTGTACGATGCCTGTATGGAGGCGTTCGATTGTCTGCCACTTGCCGCGCTCATGAACCAACAATTCCTATGTGTTCACGGTGGACTCTCGCCAGAAATACATAATCTAGACGATATTAGGAGGGTGAGTTTTATATATATATATATATGAAGTTTCTCTAACTGGTATTTATCGTCATGTCCATTTTTTTCCCAGCTGGATCGATTCAAAGAGCCACCGGCATTTGGCCCCATGTGCGACCTCTTGTGGTCAGATCCACTCGAAGACTTCGGCAGCGAAAAAAACGCCGAACATTTCAGTCATAATAGCGTTAGGGGATGTTCGTATTTTTACAGGTGAATAGTTTTTGATTCGTTTTCTGAACTATGAAATGATATTTAACACCCATAGGACGTCTACAGTTTTAGTGGTATTATTTTTCATCGTGTTTGAACGTGCTCTGCATTAAGACTTAACTTAAACTCGTTTACTTCACATACAGACATGCAAAAAAAAATTACAATTAACTAGAACTAAGTCTGAATAATTATGTAGTGCATGACAAACATGATTATGTAAAGTAAAAAAATTATTTTACTTATTATTATTCATACCGTATTTTCTTCGTAGAAAACACGCACGTTTATTATTTTTTACTGAACTGTCATAACAGGTTCAAGTTTATAAGCTAAACGCGAATTCATTAAGATAACTTATGACCATGTATTTTATCTCAAGATCAATAGTTTTATTAACCGTTTAGAATAATTAGCGGCTATACATGCTATCAATTGCTCATTGTTGTTGTTTGTTTATTTTAACCGCTGATAACTCTTCTGTTATACTGATATCTCTTGGTAGTTGTAACGTTTATTCTAATTATGTCTATTCAAATACGTTGATGAATTGAAAGTTTGTTTATTGTGCATCAAAGTTTGTCGTGTTTCTTATTTTTTTTTTTTATTATTATTTTTTTTTTTTTGTGTACGCTTTAAAATCAAATTTTGATTTAGTACATATCAAACTAACCATCAGAACATTTAATTATATAAGTAAAAATTAATATATTTATATAACTTAAATTTTATTGTAAAAATTAATTAAAAAAAAAAACCCAGCATAGTAGGGGGTCGTGGCAAGTTGGATCAAGTATAATGATATCTGACAGTGATTAAAATCACTATAAAAAAAAAAAGGCTTCGATGCAAATCTTTAGGTAGTGTTTAATTTTTAAAAATTAGTGGATTATTCCAAAAGCATCATGATCTGTTATTTCCTTATTAATGAAAAAGTGATTATTAAAAAATATTATTTCTCATAAAAAAATTGTGTTGATCCATACACTTTTCAATAAGTTATAGCATTATAAAATTAAAAAAACCCAGCACAGGGGGGTCGCGGTACAGTGGTGACGTGGTATAGATGGATCAAATATAATGATATCTGACAGTGATTAAAATCACTATCAAAAAAAAAACGCTTCGATGAAAATATTTAGATACTGTTTTATTTTAAAAAATTGATGGACTATTCCAAAAGCTACATGATCTGCTAGTACATTATTAATATCCTAATTAAGATAAAGTATGTAGAATGAAAAAGGGATTATTAAAAAATATTATTTCTCATAAAAAAATAATGTTGATCCATACACTTTTCAATATGTCATAGCATTATAAAGTTAAAAATGTAAAAAATAAAATCGAGAATTTTCACACAATAATAGCATTCGGTAGCCATTTTCACCGTGAAGATAAAATAAAGTCCGAAATTTTTTTTTCGCATAATAAAGTAAATTACATTAGCTTTAATTTAAGATATATATAAAAGTGACAGACCTTCCGGAACATTTTCAAAAGTTAAGTTGAAAAAGTTAATTTTTTTTTGAAAAAGTTGTTATTTTGAACCCCTTGCTGGCAGGTAAAGGGTTATATTTATAAAAAATATATACCAAATGATAGGTAAAGACATCATGCATCTATAAAAAAAAAATTATATTGATCCATACATCTTTCAAAAAGTTATAGCATTATAAAGTTAAAAATATAAAAAAGAATTTTTTTACAAAAATCGTATTTTTTTTATTAAGTTTAATGTCTGTTTTCACCATGAAGATAAAATAAAGTCCGAAATTTTTTTTTACCATAATAAAGTATATTACATTAGCTTTAATTTAAGATATATATAAAAGTGTCAGACCTTCCGGAACATTTTCAAAAGTTAAGTTGAAAAAGTTAATTTTTTTTGAAAAAGTTGTCATTTTAAATCCCCCCTTGTGGGCAGGTTAAGGGTTAAATTTATGAAAAAAATATACCAAACGAAAGGTAATGATATTACACATTTATATAAAAAAGAATTATATTGATATGTTCATTTTTGAAAAAGTTATGGCACTTTTAAGTAAAAAAAATTGAAAAAATTTCGAAAATTAGCGATTTTTAAATTTGTAATTTTTTTGGAGGTTTCCCCCATTTACGGGGAACGAGGGCATTTTTTTCAATTTTTGAGGGTAATGTCTTCGACTAGATACAATTTGTGATCTTTTGACGTATCATTGAAAGAAATTGGTTTGGTGAGAGCTGAGAAAAAGTGGTAACAGACACAAAAAAAATAAACACATCTTAGTAAAACCAATACCTTCTCAGCTTCGCATCGAAGCTAAAATGTAAAAAATAAAATCCAGAATTTTCACACAAAAATAGCATTTGGTAGCCGTTTACACCGTAAAGACAAAATTAAATCCGAAATTTTTTTTTTCATAATGAAGTACATTACATTATCTTTAATTTAAGATATATATAAAAGTATCAGTATTTCCGGAACATTTTCAAAAGTCAAGTTGAAAAAGTTAATTTTTTGTGAAAAAGTTGTCATTTTGAATCCCCCCAGTGGACAGGTAAAGAATCAAATTTATAAAAAAATATATCAAGTGATAGGTAAAGACATTATGCATCTATAAAAAAAAAAAAATTATTTTGATTTGTTCATTTTTGAAAAAGTTATGGCAGTTTTAAGAAAAAAAATTTCGAAAATTATCGATTTTTAAATTTATAATTTTTTTGGAGGTTCCTCCCATTTACAGGGAAATTTTTTCAATTTTTGAGGGTAATGTCTTCGACTAGATATGATTTGTGATCTTTTGACGTATCGTTGAAAGAAATCGGTTTGGTGAAAGCTGAGAAAAAGTGATAACAGACACACACTAAAAAAACACATCTTAGTAAAACCAATACCTTCTCAGCTTTGCATCAAAGTTAAAACTAGTATGATATATATGTTGATATGTAATGGTACATCATGAAATCACGATTATACATTAGATTATATTTGAAACTTTATTGTCAAATAGGCCAACTTAAATGTTATTGAGTGACACAAAATATTTGTTAATGAAAATTAAGTATTGAAATATGTAAAATATTTTACAGTCCCAAGTTTAACCAACTTGATGGAACCTTATTTTAGTTATTATTTTTGAAAATTTACAAAATCATCTGACCGAAAATATAAAATATAGTTTCGTATGATGTTGGAATACTATTCTTAATTTTATTTTGGTGCTGTAAAACAATTTTTTTATAATTATATTAAATATAATACATTAATTAATTGTTCTATATTTCACATCCTTATTTTTATCTAAATAATTTTGCAGTTATGCAGCATGCTGTGATTTTCTTCAGAGCAACAATTTGCTATCCATCATAAGAGCACATGAAGCTCAAGATGCAGGGTATGTTGTATTTACTATATTAATATCTATGTATATAATTTTTTTTAAATATAACACATTAAATTTAGATACCGAATGTATAGAAAGAGTCAAACTACTGGTTTCCCATCTCTAATTACTATATTTTCTGCGCCCAACTACTTAGATGTCTACAATAATAAAGTGAGATAATTTAATTATGAATTTAAATAATTTGAAAATTTTAAATGTGTTCAAAAACTTTTATTAGGCTGCAGTTTTAAAATATGAAAACAATGTCATGAATATCAGACAATTTAATTGTTCTCCACATCCGTATTGGTTGCCAAACTTTATGGATGTTTTTACATGGTCTTTACCATTTGTAGGCGAAAAAGGTAAAAATTAAATAACAAGTGTTTTTTATTGAGTAAATAATATTCATAATTCATTGATAATTAATTATTTACTACTTAATATATAATGCAGTTTGAACTATTATATATTATAATATATTTATTTAATCTTATTATGTTAATTTTATAGTTACCGAAATGTTAGTGAATCTATTAAATATATGTTCAGATGATGAACTAATGACAGAAGGAGAAGATACACTTGAAGACGGTAAGTGTCTATTTACTTTAATTAAATTTGACACTTTATTATCATTTCTATATGCACACATTGAAAAATTGTTCAATATATTTAAGTTTTAAATTTCATCAATTTTTTTCCAATTTAATCATTCAATCTGTATATATATATAATACTTATTTGTACTTCCTCGATCGATGCTTGAAGTTTCATTAAGATTACACTGACCGAGGAAGTATTTTTCACAGTAGGACAGTATTATTAACTTTTTTATATTTTTACCTTAATATTCTGAACAGTTAGCTTTTAATTTTATTTACTATACACTTCAGATATTTTATATATAGATTTAAAATAATACAGAATATGATAAATAATTTGTTTTTATATATTCTGCTTTATTATTATTATTCTTTATTTTTAAATCTTAAATTATGCTTCTCATGGGATTGCAGCTGATGGTAAGAAATATATTTATATTACAATACTTTTGGTATAATTAGTAGAAAAATGTATAATTATGCCATTAGAATAATGGACTGCTCCCCCAAGTAGATATCCAGAAATCCTTTCTGGAAATTTTTTTATTTTGTTTTCACCCTGGTTGATTTTAATTTGCTACCGTTTATAAAAATTACATAAAAATCTCCTTCAAATGTTTGAATGTGTTTCATTTGTTTGGTTTAAATGTATTTATCTTACTATCAATTTCATTTTAAACTACAGTTAATGGCTATTATCTTTATCATAATATTGTAACCAAACAACTAACTACATAGTATTAAAAATTTCAAAATTTAATTTTGACTTTATTTATAACTGTAGATCTTTATTTTCATTATATTCTGATTCAACTATGTAATTAGTAGACAACCCCTTTTTTGTTCAATTTATTAAGTAAATAAATTACCTGCGATTTGCGAATTTGTTTGAATTTCATTCTTCCTGAAATATATTTATATATACATAATTTGATATTAAAAATATTTTAGCTCTGAACAATTTATTTACTTAACTGTGGGCTCATATAAATTAGAGAAACATTTACCATTTGTGCTGTATAATGCTGGTCATGATATTTACCTAACAACAATTATTATATATCCTAGTACCTATTTTCTAATAAAGTTCATCATACATATTACATTTATCTTTGACCTAATTACTTTAATAACATTCAGGTCTGAATTAGCCATTTGCTTAACAAATACAATTCATATATCATTTCATCTATATAACCATATATTTATTTTAATCATTTTTTTTTTTTTTAATACATTTTTAAAATAAATTATTTCTAGTTTTTATAAGGGCCACAATTATTAAAAAGATACTATAGCTTCAGTTGTTCCTTGGATTTAATGAGAAATTTTTTAATTTGTATTAAATTGCTTTTTACTGTGCAATGTAAATCTAAACCTGGAAAAATTAAAAACTACTATTTTTCCAATAATTTAATACATAAATAATTTAACTCAAGTCTTCCATTGATACATTAATTGTTATGTTGAATAATAAGTGTTTAAATTTTAATTTGTTGTATCTGTTTTATCTTAAAATACATAATAATATATTATCAAAAATTAGTTAAATAATAATAAATTGAGAATATAAATTTATATACAAATATAATTAAAAAATTTTAAGGACTTTTGTAAATGTTATTATTAGTTTTTCAATAGCAAGTTTACTTAAATTATAATTTTAAAAAATGACTATAAATACCTTTCTATTCAAAAATAAATTCACGTATCCATTTTTCATATTATATTTAGGTTTATTTATTTTTGTTTACTTTAAGAATTATAGTATTACTTTAAGAAAAGGTCTAAAAAACCGTATTTTATGTATCGTAAATTTTTCTCACCTAGCTACTATTGTACTATCTTTCTTACTATCTATAATATACTTATATTTATGTAGGCTATTATATTTTTACTTATTTTTGGACGCACTCTTTCAATCTTCTATATTTTGTTTTCTTTTTGTTTTTCTGTTTATATTTTTAAAATCTTTCGCTCTGTGTGAACAAACAATTGGCAGCCATTGTTGTTAAACCAATAGTTCCGAAAATGCCCGGTAAGTTTTCTTCCCGAAATTTTTTTTTTTATTATTATTATTTTCAAACGTACAATCATAACTTTTCTAAAATTTTGCTATTTTTGTTTTCACTTTATCGTTTGAGCAGCCCTTAGATTTTTTTTTCTTTTTCGTTGTTGTAATTGTTGTTTTGTTATATACGTTTTATTAATCGTTATATTTTCGTATTTAACACCAACTTTTGACATTTTTTGTTACTTAATATTTCAGAGTGTTTTTATTAATTCGCTTGAATGTTAACACTAATATTATATTTAATTGATTATAATTTGATTAAATATATATATATATGTATATATAAAATCAAACAATAATAGTTTTATAATTATTTTTGCATAAAAAGTGAATTCACATTTTGATTAGGATTGATTTTTTGCTCAGTTATTTAAGTAGTCATTTCTCGTTTCCTCTTCACCAATTTAAATTGTTCTTAAAGATTGATAATATAGAAATTTATATTTTAATAGCGCGTACATTGACTGTACATCCACTACTCTAAGGTGTTTCCTTCTAGGATGTGATCATATAATCCTTTACGAAAAAATGTTATGTATTATCCATCCTGATACTAGACATGTGCATGCAATCGATATAATTATGACATTATCATTGGCCTGCTTCATTTTTAAAACCTATGTAACAACTATACCCTTTAAACTAGATATTCCTGTAGTAACTAGCAGTATATCGTGTAAAATATGTAATATTTTGTCAATTATGTAATAATTAATGCACTGAACCAAACACCTTGATAAATTTCCTGCAGATTGATTCAAAAAGTAACAATTTTTATACATTCAATAATTGAATTGTTGATTTCAATAATTTTTCTTATTTGTGATTTTTCTTTTTTCGATTACAATCAATTTTTTTTAAATATTCTATTTTACTAAGTTGACCAACCAAATTTTACAAATAATAATTGGTTTAGTGTATGATCTCATAACTACTTAGCTTATTATAAGAGTTCACGTCAATTGGTCGTGCTAAAATTTGTAGTATAGTTTAAGTTGTATTGTTAAGGTTTATAAGCGAAAATTCTTATTGTCATGATAAATACTGATGAAATTACTAAAATAGGTATGTCAATCATTTTGTGTATAAAACTTTGATGACCGTTTCAAAAATAGTTCATCATTTATAAATAATTTATTAATTATAAGGTATTATTAGTATTATTCTTATCAATTAATATTTAAAAATTAAAATAGGTGACTCAATATATACAAATTACACATTATTTGACTGTACATTAAAATTATTTATTTTATATCTTATAATAAGATGTTTTAATAAATAATTTTGTTATTTATTAAGTAGAAATTTTTGTAAACGACTAATTTTACTGTGACTAATTTATCTGATGATAAATTTTCTATACGACCAATTTCAGATGCCTAATTTTACCACGACCAATTGACTTGACTGTACACCTATTAATGTATGTATTTAAATTAAAAATATACATAATTGTACAACTTTTTATATAGTGATACAAATATTAATATTATTCACATAGAATTAACAAATTTTATAGTTGAATAAAAATTAGTATCAAACAATCATTATCATACATTATTCTCATAAAATTTCTAAATTAAAGTATGCCAACATAAAATGGCTATTGCTAAACTGATATATTAGCAAATAAAGCGTTATCAACTGAATAATTGTATACACTTAGTTGGAAACTTCTAGTACACAACATTTTTTACTACACATACATCTTGGTTTAACCCTAATCATTTAAATATATATAAGTGACAAAAATGGATTGTGGCATAATTATATTACGTTTATATTATTGTCATATTAGGCTTTAGTCAAATCAAACAAATGTGCACTATTTATTTATTTTTGCATTCCAATTTAAATGATTGCGGTTATGTAATATTTATCTAAGCATCATTATTACAGCCAACAATTTTCTAATTAGTTAAGTTTTAATTCTTAAATACCGCGTTTATTTTATCTTAAATTATTTTAATATTAAAAAATTTCATAATAAATATTTATACTAATATTTCTTGTGTTTTGCTAAATATTTAAAAAAACACGCCTATTAATATCATTATTCTACTATAACTTCTGTCTTTTTTAATATTTTGCAGCTTTCTTTTTTATTATCTTATTACTAATTATACTACTTTAATACCCATTACATAATGAAATTAACTTGTTATAGGGTAGAATTCAGTAATAATTTTAATAGACATAATATTCTAATAAATTGTTTTATTTTTAATTTTTACATGTCCCTTATTATTCATTTTTACATTTATTATAATTTGAATGTTTTTTCTGTTTTCGTTTTGATATCCAATTTTATTTGATGCGGATATGGACTTGTTTGATGGCGCACCAAAAATAATTATGACGACGTTGTTGTGTTTCACTTGTTTTCTATTTTACATCACGTCTTGACATTTGGTAAGTATAATTAAAAGAACAGCTTTTTTTTACAATTAGTTTAAGCATGTATTGTGCTGGCATCATTTTTTTTTAGTTGCGTTATGTACATTACCCGTGGCTGTTTTTAACTTAATAGATGGTAATTATGTTATGATGTGTATTTTTATAGACATATGCACACAAGTAAAAATTAGATTAGATTAAACTAATTTAAATAATATGTGAAAAATCTTAACCCCTTCGACTTAATTACTATCGGTTACTCAAAATTTTAACGAATTAGGTTATGTTTGTACTAATTAAGTTAAAAAAACCTGTTTTTTCTGAATTTTAAACCATAATTATAAATTGTTCTTTTATTTCAATTTTAAACAAAATTCATTTATTTTGTTTTTATATTATACTTATGTTTCATACTAAATTTTTTTTCGAGTTTTTAATAGTACAAGTGTATACAATGTTTTCTATAAAGCATGATTCCTTTTTCTTTTTAGAGTAAAAATTAAAAAACAATCAGACATAATAATAAGTTGAATAAATTACACCATTTTAGTTTTAATGTAATATCTATTTATCTTCAAGCATGAATACCTTTATTTCTCTAATAACTTTGATTCATTAATCATTAATCGTTGTTCTTAAAAAAATCAAACAAAGTTTGGTAAGCTGGTTCTAGCAACAAACATATTTTCATAATACAAAATTTTAAAAAATGAGTAGGGGAATCGGAAAAATATATGTAAAATATTAGATAGTGCCGCTACTGCAAAGTTTTCCCTTGTGTGGTAAATGTATAACAAAACCGGATCGCCTGATAAGTCCTCCTTTTCTTTTCATTTTATCTTATTTCATGATTTAGTTTTTAAATGATCAAAGAAAAATCCTAATAATATTATTTGTGTACCCATCAGTTTTTGGACTATATATTTTTTACACTATAGATATAGATAATTATTATTTATAGTCAGTCTTTTACACTGGCAATTTATTGATAACAATTCATTTATATTATTAAAAATAAAAATTATGTCGAATATTGCTACCTAAAAAAAAAAATGTATGAAATATTATTTTCTATTAATATTTATTATTCTTCACGCGGATTCTTGAGTTATGAGGTTACATGAAATAATATATGTATAATGTATTTTAACTTCCATTTATATCAACATATTTTCTTTAACATTAACTCTTTTATATTTTCGAATTAATTTTTAAATTATAGAATTTTTTTGGGGGGGAGGGGGACATTTTACTTCTTTGTCTTGGTGTTATAAATTGTAATTAGTTTTATTTCAGTTTTTTGTTAATATCACGTGTTATATTAATTAACTTGATTACTTATCATATTTTTATTGTAATTTATGTTTTATATTTCTTAGTCACTGCAGCTAACTTAAGAAAAGAAGTAATTAGAAATAAAATAAGAGCAATTGGAAAAATGGCTAGAGTATTTTCTGTTTTGAGGTAAATGTAAACAAATAACTTTTTAAATTGTTATTTTTATTAAATGATACATATTCTTTTTTAATATTAGAGAAGAAAGCGAGAGTGTATTACAACTAAAAGGACTAACACCAACTGGCGCTCTTCCACTCGGAGCACTCTCTGGTGGAAAGACATCACTGAAAAATGGTAATTAGAAAATACATCAAAATTGTAATATTATGATATATAGCAATATTTAGTATTTTAAATAATATAATTGTATTGTAATAATACGTGTATAGTTTAAATAAAAATTTTTTTAGCACTTCAAGGGTTTTCGCCCAATCACAAAATTACATCATTTGCTGAGGCAAAAGGCTTAGATGCTATAAATGAACGAATGCCTCCTCGTAAAGATACACCTCCATCTAATCAATGTTCACCATCAAATGCTGCCAGTTCATCAACTTCGCCATTACCTGAGGATAAATCACCATCATCATCGTCTGTTCAGAAATCAGCGTCATCATCTGAACAACCTTTATCAAATACTCATTCATGATTTCCATCAACCTAGATGGGTCTTGTGCAACAGCTGTACCTTATCATAAACGAGTCCTTTAATACTGTCATACCTCTATATTTTTTATTTATGTAAAATTCTAAAATATTTCAGATGACCTATACCAGGACCTATCAACTGTTATTAATCTTAATAAAAATTACTGTTTATTCAATTTTTTAATCAACACAATTTTTTAAATTATTTTTTGTAATAATAAATTGTTTTTTCTTTTATGTTTCAATTATACATTTTAATATAAATTTATTAGGCACCTTAAAAGAGAAAGTTCCTGGGGACAGTTATGTCAATATAAATATATATACTATAATTTTTCTAATGTAAATTATTGTCTTTATATTTTTACCATTTTAATTTACCTGTTTCATTGTTGATTTTTTGTTTTGTTTTTTTTTTTTTTGCCATGGTTAACTTAAATCTGTTTTTAATTCTTTTATCAAAATCAATGGTTTTTATTGGCCTATAAATGTGTTGCTTATTTTATCAATACCTAAAGTATATGTTTTAATATATTGTTCTCTTCATTTTACTGTAAAATTTATGCATAATGTTCTGAGAATATTAAAATATGTAAGAAATAATTACTACGTTATGTTCGTGATATATTTCTACAGCAACTATTTTGTATAACCAAATAATATTAATAGTTAAATAATTTAAATTACTTAATTTTTTTTTTTGGGGGGAGGTAATCATTTGTTGTAATCAAAGAAGGTAGTAAGCAATTAATTGTTGTCAGGCTGCCCCTTCATATTTTAATAGAAACATTCAATTAAATAAGATGCCCCATATTAGCTTATATAATAAAACATTTTTGCCATTATTGTCAATCTTTAAAAACAAACACATAATTTTATTTAGTATAGGTACATCTATAAATATTTATATATATATATATATATGATAATTACTATAAATATTTCTTTATCAATACTATTTTGTATATATAATTTTTCAAATTATATTAATAATAAAATATAACTGATAAAACAATTTTATAAGTAGATCCTGCAAATTAAAAAAAATTGTCTTCTCTTTTTTCTTTATAGTTTGGTAAAAAATAATTTACTACATTAAAATAAAAAAAAAACTTGTTAATAATTTTAATAATTATTGTAGCATCTAGTTTAAATAATTTTTAAAATAGATAATTGTTACTGTTCAGCCACTATTTATAAAATAATTTGTTCTTGTTTATTTTCTTTAGGTAACTATTGCTTTTGCAGGATTTATTAATGCTCATTAAATTTTTTTCCACAACTATTTATTTAAATTTTTATCAAATTCCAAATTTAGCAATATTGACGCACGTATTGTCCGCAGTTGTGAACAAAAATTATTTAGAAGAAAAATGATGTCAATCGCATTTTTTCCTATCATTGTAATATCACTAATCTTATATTATAAGACTGTTAATTTATTCTTACAAAGACTATGAATGAAAAGTAAATTATTAATATTATAATATTTATAAATATTATTAGCGGACTATTAAAACAATAATACAAAACCCCTATTTGAAAAATGTATGTAACTTTTTCTATTGTGTGACCATCAAAAATTATTTTATACATATATAAATAATAATTTAAGGTTAAAAAGTACCCTGTTAATTCTTCTATGTTTATTTGTTTTCAGAAGTTAAATAAAACAAAACAATTTGATTTTATGATTATTCCAATTAATTATTTTAACTTGTTAAAATCACAGTGGCATAAAAATATATTAGAAGTATTGAATATTTTCTGAAAAAGTGAAATTTATATAAAATGTTATAACCATATAGGCTTTTTAGTGGAAAGTTTTAAACAATTATAACAATACAGATTTTTTTTATGTAATTTATCAAACACAATTTATTTCAGTTAATTGGAATGGGTTGTAATTAACATCTACTCGAAAAATACATTTTTTGCAATTTTTTATTTTAATCGACAATAGAACAAAATCAACACACCAAGCCTTACGAATATACATTTTGTATTTTATAAAAAATTAACTATAAACATTACTGTGTTATTTATTATAATTTATAGAAAGAAAAATATTTAACTTTTAAACAACAAATTTGATAAATTAACTAGTTGATATATTATAAAACAATGTAAATAATTTATTTTATGATATCCTAAACAAAAACCAATTTTCTTCTCACAAACACATCAAGGAACTTCGCCACAAGACCAATTACCAAAAAAATTAAGAATTGCCAATTATTTAAATTGATTTTATTCCGTTTCAAAGTTTAAAGTCTGAGACAATAAAATGAGCGGTTGAACGCGATAGTAGCCTAACCCTCAAAATGTTAAAAATTGAGTTGATGAGATAATTTTGTTTACTATAAAAAATATTTGAATGCAACAACGGCCTATTTTTGTTTTTTTAATTTTACAATAGATTGCAACACTATTTATGTTGTTTCATTAAACATTTTATAGAATTGTAAGAATTTTAAAAGATGTAATACACAAATTAACTGTTTAGTGGAATAGGCCACTGTTTCGCTCAACCCCTCAAATAGACGCCAAGTAGTTCAATATAGACGGACTAGGAAAGTAAAGCAAAAAAGCATAATTACAGAAATAAAAAATATCAAAATTTAAGGATTTTAAAAATTGCAATTTTTTGGGGATTTCCCTCATTTACGAGGAACGAGGGAATTTTTGAGGGTTATTTCTTTGACTAAATACAATATGTGATCTTTTGACGTATTGTTCATAAAAATTAGTCCAGTGAAAGCTGAGATTGAGCGTTTACAGACAAATAAAAAAAACACATAGTAAAATTAATACCTTCTTAGCTTTGCATCGAAGCTACAAGATAACACATTGTAAACGTGGCAACTATGACACTAAGGAATTAAACTTTCAGATACTTCATCTTTAAAAGAAAAAAACTGTAGCACAGTGTGGATATGGCATAGTTAGGATAAGTTTAAATGATATCTGACAGTGATTAAAATCATTATCATAAGAAACGATTCGATGCAAATCTGTACATAGTTTTTAAATTTAAGAAATTGGTGAATTATATCAAAATTAATCACTAATTCCTTCATTGTTTCTGATTAGTAATTCTTTCATTTATAAGTGTAATATAAGAATAATTGATTATTTTAGCAATTAAATATAGTATGAAATTGATATTGAATAATTTAGTATTGTAATTTTTATGGAGAAATTGTAAAGTAGTGATTACTTTTATGGCAAACGTGTATCAAAATTAAAAGGCTTGATACAAAACTTTTCAAAAAATAACTTTTAGTTAATTATGAATAAATGGTCTACAATGAATTTTGATCAGAGTCAAAAATATACATTTATTGGTCGATTTTTCGCGCTGATTTTAAATTTTCAATTAGATATTTTCTATTACCTCTAATTTTTGATATTATTTCTAATTAATTATGAACTATAAAATATGCTATACGAAATATTGTTATGAATATTTCAATTATAGCATCTATTTAAATACTAAGAGTTACTTAGAAATGATTAGTATTTCTATTGAAATGATTTATTACGATATAAATAAAATAAATATAATCAGTAATTTTAACAACATTTTGGGCTTTTTATAAATTTACTGTTAATAGTAATCATACAATTTTTTTTCCATATACGAATTAAAAAATTTTGTTGAATATTACAGACTGGAAATGAAACACCAAATAGAGGTAGAAATTAATAACTATGATTATTCAATTTTGTAGTTGAAACATGTCATATCAAATATAATTCATCAATTTATACATTAAAAACATTAGAAATGAACGATTTTAATCGTCAGTTTGTAAAAGTTTGATTATACAACTTTTTATTTGATAAAAAGGAAATTTTTTCAATTTTTGTGGGTAATATCTTAACATAGGTACAGGTTGTGATCATTTGATGTATCATTAAAAAAATTTGTCAAGTGAGAGCTGAAAAAAATTAATAACAGACACAAAAAAAAACCATATAGTAAAATATTTTAATTTGAATAAAAAATTCCTTCTCACAGTGATAAAAAAAGACACATCATAGTGAAATTAATACCTTCTCAGCTTCGCATCACAGCTAATACTTAATTCTTCTTCTTCCTCGCCTTAATCCCAACTACTTGGGGTCGGCCATAATACTAGCTAATACTAAATTTTTATTAAATATTTATTTATTATAATTAAATAATATTCATGAAATATTAATGTTTTTGTTAATTAAAAATCAAATTTAAATTTGACTTTTAAAACCCAATTATGTTCATTCAAATTTGAAAGAGGTGCGATAATCAAATCTTATACTTATTTTAATAAAGCAATTTATAAATAGATTTAATACATTCAAATAATTAACGTTATGATTTAAAATTTTGTATATTAATTAAACTGGAAAGAAGAAAATTAATATTAACGCCGTTTAGAATAAATGTTTCATTTATACCTTATTTAACAACACAGCCTTGTCTAAACTTATAATATCTATGAATTACTGTACTTTAAATCTATCAAGAAATAAAGAAGTTATTTTGCACAATTTATTCAACAGTTTTGATAATTATTAAAGTTTTTTAGAATCTTTATAGATTAGGGATGCTTTTGATACACCCAAAGCAATCTGATAAACTTGAAAATACCTCACTGAAAACGTGATAAACAGTCACAAATTTAACAGTTGGTATTTTAGAAAATTTAAAACTGATTCCTAAAATATTAGATATAAAAAAAGGTCAAAAAACTAAAATGAATAATAAATCTTAAACTCTTATTTGTGACAATAGAAAACTTAATTTAACAATATAATGATAATCCTAATATATAAGTTTAAATTTACATAATGTCTAATATGATATAACTTATAAACTATTTTTTTTCTTCATTAGAATATTAAAATGTATTTATAACTCTGCTTTAATTTATTTTCAAAATATTGTTACTTTTACTGTATAAATGTAAAATACACTAAACGTGTCCTACATATCTAACAAATAAACTGAACTGATTTTTATCCTTCTTAAATATAAATATAAAAATTAATTTTATTTCACTATTTTAAATTATGATATTTTTTATAAAAATGTGATTGTGTTTATTCTAGTAACTTACATATATAGCTAATAAATAAAGTAATTAATTTCATGTTATTGATGAATGTAAGTAATAATAATTTTAAATAAGGAGAATAAATTTCAATAAAATGTATATATGTATAATATACATATATACATTGTATATATACCTTCTTGTTTAACCTCGCCTTAATCCTAAATACTTGGCCACCCTAAACTTCAGCAATCAACATACACCACGGCACCTCTCCTGGTATTTCTCTAGTAATTTCATACATCACTATAGAAAATAAGTAAGGGCTTAAAGCAGAACCTTGGTATACTTCTACTCTTACCCTAAAACTTTCTGTTACTTCTCCCACACTTTTTACCCTAGTACAAGTACCATCATACATAACCTCTATTATATTAATGTATAATTAATATTATATTAATCCAACCTTTTCGGGACACCTTTTCTCATTAATGATCACTTTAAAATCTCTTTCGATACTCTATCATACGCTTTCTCCAAGTCTATTAATACCATACACAGCTTTTTCTTCTTTTCCCTATACTTTTCTATTAGTTGTCTCATACAAAATAACAATAAAATATAATAATGGCTCCATTATTGACTTACCAGGCATAAATCCAAACTAATATTTAGGTACCAATGTCTCATTTCTTATTTTCTTATCTATTACTTTTTCCAAATTTTTCATACTATAACTCATGAGCTAATTGCCGCTATAGATGACGCCCAGCTCAACCACTCTATGAGTATAATTTCTAGTACAGTAAAATCAACACCCAAACAGCTGCTTCCCGTCTTGCGCAACATCTTTCCACCTGCTACACGCCGTAAATCAGTTGGCCATAGAGAATGGACAAAATACGCTAAAAACCAATCTCTCCCAATTCATCAAGACACTACTCTAGTTGTATCTATGATAATTTCAATATATAATATTAAATTTACATAATGTCCAATATGATGATATAACTTTAAGTTCTCTATGACAATCTCAATCTATAATTTCCACACTCCTATATGTCTCCTATACCTTTAAATATCGGTATTACAATAATATTCTTCCATTCTTTTGGTATTTTTCCTTCTAATAATATTTTATTAAAAAGATCCTTCAACCACCTTATACCAACACTACCTAATATTTTTCATACTTTTACTGGCACTTCATCTGGTCCTACTGATTTATTATTTTTCACTGATGCTACAGCCTCCCATACCTCTTTCTTATTACTTAAATCTACCATTGACACTACGAGTGAAGGTAGATCCGTACAAAGATTGGTAAAACAGCTACTGCACAAGTTATCCTGCTGTTGGTATCTAAAACTTTATTCTTTAGACTTACTCCATTTCTATTTACTTTATTTTCTCTCACCTGTTGTCCCCACGTACGTCCAAGATGGAACAATCCGCCTAAGTTTTGTTCAGGAATCCTCATACTTTTTGAACAAAATTTACGCTGGCTATTGATTTGGCGCAATCTCATTAGTTACCTCTTACGACTGGCGGAGGGGCCGTGGAAGTATTCTTATTCCCTACTCACATGTCCCAGTGAATAGGGGATATTCACAGTGTACAAATGCTATATGTACAAATGCTATATGTACCTACTTCATTAATAATTTTTAGGTGGAAGTCTTGCACATAGTATTAGTATTGGAAGTGATATTTCATATCGCACAAAAATGGATGTAGTATGTGTTATTGATGTGATTCAATCTTGTAATTTAGCAGATCGAAAGAGAGCATTAGAAGAAATAAAACAATATCCTTGTTGTAAATATTATTATAAAAATAGCAATAAATTTTAAGTATAATTTATTCTTTTTCACAAATATAATAAAAATGAACTTTACAGCTCTAATAATAAAAAAATTAGAATAATTTACTATCTGCATTTACTATTTTGCTAGCATAATAATTATAATACTTCCATATAAAAGTTTAAATTGAAATTTCAATGTTTATTTTTTAACTATAAACAATTTAGTTACATTGATATACAATTTTTGAACTAAACCATATAAATAAAATAAAACAAATGTTAAATGTTATTGATTTTCATTTTTAATGTTTTACAAAATTTATTTTTAATAACAAAAAAAAAAATTATAAAATATATATAACAATTATTAAAAATAGACATTGAGACAAATAAAACATTTATCACAGTCTTTATTAAAATTTGCAGAAAAATAATTTAATCATAAGTTTATATAGGAAAAATACTTATTTTTTACAAATATGAGTTAAGGAAATAATTTAATTAATTTTATTAATATAATAAATTATTAAAAACATTGTTATTGCACTTGATAAAAAATTAATTTCACAATAACAATTAACTAAAGTTTATAAATGGTAACTAATCTATATAGTTATTATTAATATGATTACTTATATGTTGTATTAATCCTTCTGAACTAGTTGATACAATTTCAGCACTTGATGATGTCCTATTTAACATCCTATGTCGTTCTATTTCTTTCCATAGCCTCAGCTCAATACCTCGTCTAAATAAATTAACAAAAGTTTTTATGCTAACATTTTCAAATAAAATATATTTATTTTAATATATGAGCTAACAAATAATTGCATAAAAAATATGGAATTAATCCAAAAATCTCATACTTAATAGAGTAATATTTAAATACTTTGTATACATCAGAACATGTCTTAAGGAATTTTCACTGGATGTCACTAATGAGCAATATTTTCAAGACATATCAAGTATTTATCTACCCCAGAATTTAAAAAACTTTATACATTACTAGATACAATCACTGAGGAATTACGTAAGTAGCATTGTCTCTGGGAAGAAAGTAGAAAAAAGGTTTTTTTTTTGGTTTTTAGCCGTCCTTAGAAAATTATAATTTATCATTTATTTTATTTAAATATCTAAAAGCTTTATATAAAACTAGTTTTCTTTAATCATGAAGTTGAATGGATTCCAATAATGTTTAAAAGTAAGATTGATATGATTCACCTAAAAGAGACCAATTAATTTAATTTTAAATGAGACACATCATTTAATGACTACATGTTAAAATATGCCTTGACATACATATTTTTGATACTCAAGGATATTATTTTTTTACTAAAATTCATTTATACTAATTTTTGTGAGTTTAATATTATATTATTAATTTGATTAATAAAAATTATTTTTTCTTACTTAAGACCAAGACTTCTCAAATCCTCTCTGGAAACATCTACCAAAATGTTATCAAAAGTAAACTGTTCATATATAATCTGGAAATAATGATGTTGTTTAAATACTAATTTACATAATCTATATTTACAACAAAAGATGTGCTATAATCTTTTAAAAGATTTTTCAAACTTACTCTTTTAATAGAACTTTCATCTATTCCAATATTATGAAGCCATTTTATGAGATCTTTACTATCTTGATCAGTTTCATCACTTAAACTAATTGAGATTCTACAAGAGTCAGTGACTGTAACATTTTGTTGAGCAATTGATTTTAGTAAAGTTATTTGATTTTTTTGGTCCTCCAGAGTTTTTTTGAGTAAAGTATTATATGATTTCTGATGATCCAACACTTCTTCCATTAATCTATTTATTATTTTTTCTTAAAATAGTTTAAAAACAACAAAAACAAGATACAATTTTAATTTAAAGAATTATAAAGGTAACATAAGGAAGTTTCTCAGAGATCTAATTTTAGATTATTAAGATAAGATTTTATCATTGAAAGAAAAGTTTAAATAGGAAAAATCCTATTATATGAAACACCTTTCAGGCTTAAAAATAACTCAATCTAACATTACTTATTAATTTTAATGTTAACATTATCTTAGGTAAGATAGGAAATTATGTTCAAGTGATAATCTTTCTATTTATTTTATATAATAATAACTTAAGATTAAACATTTATATTTAACTATTGAACTATAAAATTTTTATAAGAGTAGAAATCGATTTATTTATTTATTATTTTTTTAATTCTCTAAAACTTGAAAAAAATACAAAAATCAATATCACTAGGTCATTTCTTGTATGATGATAATATTCAGTAAAATAAAATTATTCAAATTTTTGTTCCATTCATAGGATTTTATGTTCTAGAATATTTTAACTAATGTAAAATAGTAGAGAATTATAACTAATTAAATGAAATTAATTTATTTAAAATTTCAAAATCAGAGAACTAAAAAACAAAAATTTAATTCATAATCAAAAGTTAATAAATTGTAGGATTAGAATATTAGTTAGGGAGAGGGTAAAAAGGTCATAATTCCAAAATGCAATAATTTCAGAATGACAAAATATCTATTTCAATTTAATATTAATTATATGACACATAAGCATATTTTTCTAAAATGCTATTTAGAGAACAACTAATTGTAAAGTCAAATTTTTTATTTTTTCATTTAAAATATGTCTTTTAAAATGCAAAAAAATTCAAAATATACTACGAAAGATTTTTACATTAATATTTATAAGTCAAATAAAAATTTAATAATAATCTCTCTTATTAACACTAAAACGTGTGTCAGAGAAAATGGGAATACCTGTATTTAGACAGAACTGTATCAAATCCCAATACCTTTGTACTGAAGTAAATTATGATCGTGACCAAACTATAAAATGCCACCTCAGAATTAAAAGATTCATATATAATATTGTCGAAAAAAAAAATTATTTTTAATAAATATACTAAAAAGTAATTACACATCTTTTAAGCTCTTTACTTATTTTATAGTAAATGTAAATTAAAAATTAAAAATTCCACAAAACTGTATGGTAATTTTTTTTTTTTTTAACAGTCTACTGAAAGATAATTTGTCACGTATTTGAACCTTTTTATTCTCAGATAACGACAGGGTAATTTTGAAAAAATTACATAAATCTTTTTATAGAAAAAAGATATATATAACACATCAGCCACCAAAATTTGTCATACATACCTAAAAGTTTAGATTTATAATCCAAAATTCATAAACTAATATACAAACCTCTATACCCACGTTAGCTAGGTAAAAAACAATTATACTAGTTATTTTTCAAGATTTCACAATGTCAATATAAAACATAATATTTAAAAAAAAATAAACACCTATGATTTTCTACTTGTAGCATTAACAAACGTTTTTGAAGTTCATGTTTGTTTTTTGTTATTGACCCATCTAAAAAACTATCATCTGTTTTATGAGATCTAACTGATGAGCTAAATGACGGAGAACTATTTTTTGTATCATCCGTCACAGAAAATATACTACCATCAGGCTTTATATCTTTTCCTGGAATATTCTCTTCCAATTCTAGAATGAATACATTTAATTATATAATATATGACAGACATGTAATGCTTATTATTTCAAATAAATAATTACCAGGTGTCAAAACACTAATAGCCGCTTGCACTGCATTATGTACTAAATTATCAAGAGCAAACATCCAATGAGGTTTAATATTATGAAGTCTCAGGACAGATTTTGCCTTAAAAATAATATTTAGTAAAAATTAATGATCATAGAACAATTATTTATTTTAAAAAAATCAGAAGAAATGTATACCGCTTCTTGAAACAAATACAATGAAAAATTTAATTGATGAACAGCATTTGAATCAAAATTTAATTGTTCTTTTAAGTTGTAAATAGCCTTTTCAACAATGTCTCTATTTTGGTCTGTAATGTAGTCCCGCAGTCCTTTCATCAGCAATTCTAAATGTTCATCTTCCAGCATAGATTTACCAAACTCACGACGAATATATGACATCCAAATTTTACACAAAGTTAAATGATCATGAGCCAACACCCGAGCCAACGTAGTCCTACGTTGAGAATCTTTTTTTAACATGTAAAAACCATCATGTTCTGAACTGCCAGCTGTACCCATATCAATCTCTGGTGATACCATAGTTCCTGAAGACTGTCGTCTATGACCTTTGTATATGTCAAAACTAAAATCATTATTTAAAATATTGAATTATACTATTTATATTAAAGACATTGTAAAAATTTTTCAAATCATTAGACAAATACCTGTCGTGAGGGTGCAGCATGTTTGGTAAGCTGATAGGAGAAAGGAACTGGTTTCGTTTTGTTGTTTCAGGTTGGGATTTTGTTAACCAGCTGTGTACAAACACACTCCAATGTAAGCGCCCTCACTAAGTAACACATTAGTAGCATAAATCTGAAGCATTTTTGCATTTGTCATTAGCAACGTTATAATGCAAAATTTATGTTGTCAGTTTAAACTTAATGCAGATGCTGAAGATATAGCGTATTTAACCAAACAAATAAGATAAATAAAGTTTTGAATCAATAATTTTTAATCAGTAGTTTAAAAGTATTTAAAAATAATTTAATAAATTTTATTATAATTAAGAATATAATAAGTTTTAAGAACAAAATCTAAGCATTTGCCATCAAAATCTTAATAATTATTACATTTTTTTGTAATTTAGATTTTCAATATATGTTTTGTTTTATTTTAAAACACATTTAGATGCCAAGATTTATATTATTTTAAGAAAGTCACAAATTATATTTGTGTTGTTAAATCTTTAGAACAAGCCTAGTTAACCATATATCTAATTTACCTTCTAGAAAAGTATGCAAGATTAAAATATATATAATTGCTTTATATTCAACTTTATGTTTAATGCTTATTTAAAAAAGTGTATTTATTAAGCTACTTGTAAATGTTTAATCTTTTTCATACACTCAAATTAAGAATGTTAAACACAAATTCACGTATTATAATAGGTACTGAAGTTAAAAAAACAAACAAATTTCCTTTCAACACTGATAAATATGAAATTAATATTTAAAAATGATTTCTTTTAAATATTAGAAAATTAAAACATGCTCAAAACCTTAACCATTAAACAAATTTAGCCTTGAAATATTAATATTAATTATTTTTAACAACATTGATGTAAACACAAAAATTGTTGAAAACTGTTGATTATTCATGTTATACTATAATATAAATAAATTAAAAATGTATAAATAATTTTTTTAATACCTGTTTTCCCTGGGTAATTTCTGCTTAATTTGATTTTCAGTAATATTTTCTTGATCAATTGTTACTTGATTAGTTTTCAAACCCTTTTCTGAAGGAACAGATATACTACGATTAAATTCAAGAGGTGCGGTTAATGCTCTAGAGGTTTTCTTCTTTCTACAATATCAGTTAAAAACAAATTAATAGTGCTTCATAATTTTGAAAACAATTATTTATTAATGAGTAAATATATTAAACAATATAAAACTAAACTAAACTTAAAATATAAATAAGATACTATTTATATTTTACTAGGCAAGTACTATTTGATATAAATGGATTATAAATAATTATTATAAATAATAAATATATTAAAATATATATATAATATTATATAAAATATATAATACGTTTTGAGGTATTGTTAGTGTTTATTGCTCATATAATTACCACTTAAAATATAATATACTACTTTTTGTTTTAAAATCTAAGTGTACATAAGTGTACAAGGTTTGTAGAAACCCATTTTTTTAAGACTATTTTACCCAAACCCTTATAACTTATCAGATTTTTTCAATCTATTGTCCAGACAGTTTTATTGGATTTTTGTAGAGAGAATCCAGCTTCAATAATATTTTATATTGGTAATCATAAAAAAAATAAAATAAACATATCATATTATAACTAATATATTGGTTCTAACATGTATTTATTTTGAAGCAAAGAAGCTAAAATATTGCCTGAGCTTTGATACATTGTTGAGAATTTTCAACTTTTGTTTTTAAATATTTACTTTAGTAAAAATTAATAAGCAAAATTTTAATTTTTAATGAAAATAATATTTTTTAAGATTAAATCAATATTTATACTTAAAATGAACTTGCAAAAAAACAGTCTGGATTCTTATGGGTTTTTAAAAATTTTATCCAGATTTAGCTTAAAAAAGTCTAAAAGCTTATAAAAAATCCTATAAACCTATTATTGTGACTTACCAACATTTGGGTATAAACTACATATTTTATTGTAATTAATTGAGTTGTTTATTTTATATTTTGTCAATTTACGTTTAAAACCTTATCTCAATACTAGTTAAATTTTATTTTGTTATTAATAAACAATAACAATAGAACTTTGATAAATCGAACCTTGATAAAACAAAAAAAAACTATAAATAACTCAAAAAACTTATTTGTAGTAAATGATTAATATATTTTATGATATTTGTGGTTCTTACAGTCATTTATTTTAATTTTAATTTTTTTTTATACATGATAATATAAATGTTTGTTGTGTTTATTATCCTTATTTCTTTTGGTTTAATTCGGCTAATATTTTACTATATTTGATATTGTCTGGTGTGTTCAGTCAATTAAATATGAAAAACAAAGGATGCTTGATGAAGTCTAAGGTGGAAAGAAGAAGGACATTGCTCAAGAATTCAGTATACCAGTTAGCACATTGTCTACCATAATAAAAAATAAAAACTGAATTGAACTTTTTACTTGATCAGACGAGAAAGAGAAGCCCTGAATTTTTAGATGTAGAAGAATGTGTAATTAAGTAGTTTAAGTAAAGCAGAGATATCAAGTTCAAAATTTAAGGAGTTGTATAAAAGGCAGAAAAATTAAAAATAATATGAATAACAGTAAATTTATATTAATTGACATTCTAAAAACTACACTAATATGGATAAATTTTTAAAACTCTTGAAGTCAGATGTTTTTTCTGCAACCTAGATAACTTGAAACAACAAGTCAAAAACTTAAAATAAATTTAAAAAAAAAAATTTTCCTTGAAATTCGACTTATCAAAGTTTTATTGTATTTCATAATATTTCTAAAAATAAAAGGATTAAGTAACAAATTTTACAAACTCAGACAAGAATAGATCTTCTAGTAAATCAGTTGCTGTTGCACGCTGATCAGGATCTACTCCAAAACAACGAAGTATAAAGTTTTTAGCTTTATCACTAAGTTCAGATGGTATTTCTGGATGCATTTTGTAATAACCAACTTTAAACACAGCTGCTTGAGGTGATCCTAATTCTATGAATGGTGGTTTACCTGTAGCCATTTCAACAACTGTACACCCCAAAGACCAAATATCAGCCTAAATAATAGTTTTCATGCAATTTTATAGATTAATTAATCTAATTAACTAACTAATAAATCTAAATTAATTCACAAACCGGTGCTCCATAACCTCTTTGACCTTTATCAATAACTTCAGGAGCCATATACTGTAAAGTGCCAGTAAATGTAGCAGTACTAGGGCATAATCCAGCAAGACGCTTCGAAGTTCCAAAATCAGATATTTTCACAACACCACTATAAGTATTGACTAATACATTATCACCTTTTATATCACGATGCACTATTTTTTGATCATGTAAATATTTTAGGCCTTCCAGAATCTGTTTAGTATAAAATGATATGGTAGATTCATTTTCTTTCAAAGGCCCCCATTTTGATCTTAAAAGAGCAGATAAACTTCCTACCAAAAATATAAAATAAATATTTCATCATTTTGTTTAATTTTTATAAAATTATATAACACAATTATATAATTTGCAAATACATTAAGTATTTATGATATATTATAATTGACTAAGAAAAACTAGCAACCTAGAAAGAATTACCTCCAGGAACTTGTTCCATAAATATTTTAAAAAACCCATTCTCAGATATTGAACCTAAATATTGTACAATGTTTCTATGGCGCAATTGAGAATGTAATTTAATTTCTTCATGAAGCGGTTGAACATCACTAAATAATAACATCTGCTTTTTAAATTATTCAGTAAATTATGATTTAAAATAATGTAAGTACCCAAGGTTTTTTTCTGGTATTTCTTTAACAGCAATTCGTACTTGGGTATTAAGATCACGAGCTGCATATACAACACCATAAGTACCTTTACCAAGAACTATTTTCTTTTCAGAATCATCTAGTTCATACTCAAACTAAAATTTCAAGGTTTTAAAATTTATTACTACCACTCTATAATCTAACTACTAATATAGTATAATTACTTTTATTTGTTCACTTGAAGAATCAGAATCGAGATTTGTCATCATTCCTTCTTCTCCTTCAGTCATTGTAATTATGAGATCATAAAATGTTTCTCGACATTGTGATGAAGGAAAAAACATTTGGAAGTCATCAGAATTTTCATGGACATACAAGAATAAACAACGCTCATCTCTTTTATACAAACTGCAAGTAAAATAACTTGTATTAACATGGTGTAAAGTTTTTGTTTTTTTATTTTTTAAATTATTACATTTATTATAAATTTATACAAACAAAAGTCATTCATATATAAACAAAATATATGGATAAACAATAAAACATGAAAAAAAAAATTAAAAAACATTTTACAAAAATAAAAGACTTCAAAAAAATCTGCTATGTTAAAATGCACTTAAAAAAATAAAATAAATTTATTAGGATAATAATATACATTTAATGTATTTTTGAAGTCAATGTTAACCCAAGTTCACAAACGTGTACTAACAAAGTAGCTAAGTAAAAGTAGGTACATATTTAATTTTACAATTGACAAGATAGCAGACGCATGGCATTGAACAGTATGGGGTGCAGCAATTTTTTAATAAATATATATTCGAAAATGTAGGTATCAGAGACAGTCAATATCAATAGTTAACTACATTTTTCTCATGCATAAAAATTAAATGTGTACCTACTCCTACTTCATTACTTCATTATCATATGTTTATTAACCTAGGCTGGCATTGACTACAAAAATAACTATAATTATATAGTATTATACAAATAAATTTATTGTATTCTAATTCTAATCTGAATTATTTTATTCTTTTTAGTGCATTATTTCATAGAAAATATTTTTGGAATTTTTTAGTCGGAAGGTAAGTAGTCCATTTGGGTCTAATTCAGTGGTGTTTACACCACTGAAGTAACAGAAAAGCAAAATCACAATTATCACTTATTTGGATGAAATATTTTTCCAGTTATTTTAATTTAATAACCAAACTAGAAGTTTCAAAACCAGCAGCTTTAATAGCCCTTCTAATTTGAATTAGTTTTATATGTAAGCCCCACTGTAGATTATTTTACTATAGACTATTTTAACCCTCTAAAAATGTTTATCATACTTTTACCTATACTCAAAGTCTTTTATATAAGTAGAAGCTTATGAAACCAAATTCAGACTGAATTTGAAATTGTAATATAGGATGAAACACAACCTTAAGTTTTAATACATTACTTTTTTTTAAAACAAATATTTCTTATATGTAAAACCTAACTTTGTATATTATTAATTCAATTGTGAGTATTATTATATAATTAAAAGATTCAAATTACAATTACCTAACACCTCTTATCATATTAGCAACAAACAGCCAATCGTGTACTTGTTTACAATTTCCTCGCATGTTTTCCATACATAAATTCCAAACATGAATTGACTTTTCTTCAGCACCAAGATTAACATTAACATAACTTGGCATAAATACTTTAGATGGTTCAAGTACTAATATCTAAAAAAATTAGAAAAAAACCAATTTAGGTAAATTTTTTTTCATATTTTTATACAAATTAATTTTTTTCTCACTGGAAAACGTATACTATCTCCTATTTCAATTTTAGTAGCCTCCACAAAATAATCCATCCAAAAACTAAAAATTTGTTCTTCTGCTGTAAAATCTACCTCTTCATTTCTTTTGCGAAATCTACTGATTAATAAAATATTCCCAACTGTTGAATTTAAATACCTAAAGGAATTAGATTAAAAAATAAGAGTAATAAAAAATGCAAGATACACATAATATGTGTATCTTAAAAAAATACTATTTATTTATATTATATATAAATAGTATTTTTTAAATGTAATACAGTCACATTTTTTAATTAAAAATATTATTAGCCTTAAAAGAGTTTTAATATTAAAATACAATCATTATTATAAAATACTTTAATATTGATTAAATATCATACCAGTTTGGAGGTTTTAACTTAAACATACATTCAGCAGCTTGAATAGCTTTACTGTAATCTTCTGCTAATACACTTATTTCAAAAAAAGTTGCAACATCCCAATATTCTTTGAGTGACCATAAACTGCCTTTTTTACCAATTAAATTATTCAAAACCATACCTAATAAAGTAAAATAAAATAACTAAAAACAAAATTATTAAACCCAATTTAGTACTTGTTACATTACCTATATGCTGCAGTTCTTCCGATTTTGAAAATTCATTACCAGCAATGACTAATAATGTGGCTAAATTAATTCCCGCATATTCATTAGGTTGTACTTCAAATCCTTTACGATACCAATGTATAGCATTTTGAAGGGCTGATTTATCCTTATATGAAGATTCAACAAATTTATCTTTATAAATTCGACCACAAAGGCAAACCATATCAGGTATATGATTTTCCTTCTTTTCTAAAGCTAATTCAATTACTTGTAAGGCTTTTTCTCTATCACCAGGTTTGTTACGTCTTAAGATAATCAAAAAAAGATAATAATTTATTATTTATTAAAAACTAAATATCAAAGCATACCTATTAAGGGCAAACGGATATAAAAAACGCAAAACAGGAGTTTGTATATAATTTTTTTTGTTTGGAATAGTTTGAATATCTTCAACAAGTTGGACCATAGCATCATAGTCCTAAATTAAACAGAAGTATTATTACTTAAGTGTTCCGATTAACTATATGATTTTCTCACTAGTTTAATATAATCAAAATTACCTGTATATCTCTAAATGAAATAAGCATATTAAGCACTACATCACCCGAAAGAACATGGGGATCATCAAGTCTCTTTCTCATAATATGTAAAGTGTTGCATAATTCTTCCCCGCTGTAGTTTTCTCTAGCTTTTCGCAAGTCAGATAAAAATTTTTCCTTAATGTGAACTCTAATAAGATTTATAAAAACTTCAGAATACTTCTTAAGTAACTCATTTTAAATAAATTATTTTTACTTAGATTGAATTTCAACATCTTGAAGTAATTTTTTTAATTTTATAGTAATTGGTAATCTTGGTTCAAAAGTCGAAGAACCATTTTCATCTTGAAAAGATGGATTTGTAGTAAGACATGTACCACAATCAGCTAACTTGTAAGAAATAAATGTGTATGCCCCACAAGATAACTATAAAAATTATGTCAGTAAATACGGTATAAAATAAATTAAAATATATGTTATAACAAACTTTCAATCTTAAAGTAACTTCAGTGTCTAGATCATTAAATAACATGATATTTTGTTTCATTCCAAAACTTTCACGCACTCCCAAATGATAGAATAATGAACTCTGTTGAAATTGCATGGATAAGTCAACAATAGCAACGTCAGCATTATAAAATGTATCCAACTCAGTAGTGCCACCAAAATCTAATTTTTCAAACTAAAATAAAATATTTTAGATGATGTACAATTCCTAAAATTTTTATGATTCATTTATTTTTTAAATAAAAAAATTGTTGACATACCATTACAATAAATAGATTGGCACAAACCATTGAGCATGCTTGTTTTATTTCTTCTAATGCTCTCTTTCGATCTGCTAAATTACAAGATTGAATCACATCAATAACACATACTACATCCATTTTTGTGCGATATGAAATATCACTTCCAATACTAATACTATGTGCAAGACTTCCACCTAAAAATTATTAATGAAGTAGGTACATATAGCATTTGTACATATAGCATTTGTACACTGTGAATATCCCCTATTCACTGGGACATGTGAGTAGGGAATAAGAATACTTCCACGGCCCCTCCGCCAGTCGTAAGAGGTAACTAATGAGATTGCGCCAAATCAATAGCCAGCGTAAATTTTGTTCAAAAAGTATGAGGATTCCTGAACAAAACTTAGGCGGATTGTTCCATCTTGGACGTACGTGGGGACAACAGGTGAGAGAAAATAAAGTAAATAGAAATGGAGTAAGTCTAAAGAATAAAGTTTTAGATACCAACAGCAGGATAACTTGTGCAGTAGCTGTTTTACCAATCTTTGTACGGATCTACCTTCACTCGTAGTGTCAATGGTAGATTTAAGTAATAAGAAAGAGGTATGGGAGGCTGTAGCATCAGTGAAAAATAATAAATCAGTAGGACCAGATGAAGTGCCAGTAAAAGTATGAAAAATATTAGGTAGTGTTGGTATAAGGTGGTTGAAGGATCTTTTTAATAAAATATTATTAGAAGGAAAAATACCAAAAGAATGGAAGAATATTATTGTAATACCGATATTTAAAGGTATAGGAGACATATAGGAGTGTGGAAATTATAGATTGAGATTGTCATAGAGAACTTAAAGTTATATCATCATATTGGACATTATGTAAATTTAATATTATATATTGAAATTATCATAGACACAACTAGAAGGGGTATGAGGTATAGCTCCCAAACATTAGAGAATGATGTTTATTGATATAAAAAACTATTAATTAAAGCAAAGTTTTATTATTTAAGAAATCAAAAATATTATTACCTAAAAAACATGTATTAATTATTATTTATATTTCTTATAATAAAATAACTATAATTTAGTCTATTTTAAAACACTTAAGATATTTCATAACTATCTTTTAGGTTTCACAAAATAAATTGACTCACATTACTTTTACCCTTTTCAGTAAAAAACAAATGTGTATGTTAAGTAAAATTAAAACTATATTAAAAATATTATTAATTTAAAAAACTAAAAAATATTAAACTCAAAGCCACAAAAAATTAATGAAAAGTCGCGGATACGTATTTCGGAAACAATGTTACCATTATCAACGCTAAACACATACTGACACCCCGACTAGAAAAAACTCCCTTATATACCCCTAGTGACGTCATCACTAAGTAATATTATCACATTTTGCCAGTTTACACAAGTTTAATAATGAATTTTTCAGTGGGCCAAGATCCCAATTAATTAAATTGTTTTTATTTTTAAACATTTCTATTGCTTCTCTGATATTAAGTTCTTTGTAATTATTTACGTTTTTAATTAGTTTTATGGTTTTAATGGAGTGATTATGTGTCAATAAATGTTCAGCCACTGGAGATTTCTCAACTTCTTGATTTTTAATATTTCTTAAGTGCTCTTTAAACCTGACCCCTATATTTCTTTTTGTTTGTCCTACGTAACATTTATTACAACTTTCACATTGTATTTTATAAATGCCTGATTTCCCCCCTTCATCTACCTTATCTTTAGGGTTACCTAATAAATCTCTTAAATTATTACTCTTAGATGTTACCAAAATTCTTAAATATATTTTTTTTTTTTAAATGTGTATGTTATCAGCACTACCTAAATTTCATATTCAAAAAAAAAAATTTACACTATAGACATATTAGCATAAAAATAGATTATTTATTTTATTTAATATTTATTTGCCCACAATAACAGCTCATGACCATGAACTTTTATTAGTAGTAAAAATTTCAATTAACTCAAAAAATTACGTATTATTGATAATAATCTCAATAATTCAATTCAAGCTCTTAACTATACTCGTAACTCAAATTATGTAATTTTTTTCGATTCAATTTTTTATTATAATTCTTATTATATCTTACCAGAAGAATCGACATCCAGCTTACCGCTAGAGCCAAACATTTTGATGTTTCTTTCATTGACACATTCAATTTAAAGAACTATGTTTAGCTTTTAAATAGTAAATAATAATAGAAAAAATTAATTTTTTAATATTTATTAAGTTATGTTGTGTTATTGCATTGATAAAAATCATAACCACAGTGTATAATAGCAAGATAGAATGGAGGCCTCAAGGTTTCCAGCGTTGCCAAATGTTTAAGAAATAGATTTTTCATAGCTATAACTATTATTGTAAGATACACTACAATTATAACATTTTATCAACAAATGACAGAAAATTATGTAATTTTTTTTTTTTAGAGCAGTTGATGTTTACCCACCTGTGATAACATAGAATCACAAGAAATCATAAATAATATGTACACTTGTCTGTAACCATAATTTAGGATCGTACTTTAATTTACTTGTAGTTTCTTAGATATCAATATACAAGAAGTATTTAATTAATTCACTATAAAAATTAACCTAATTTACTACCAGAAAATGAATATATTTACTTAGTAACATACTAGTAAAACATTATTAAAAAGTTGGAAGACTTATTTTTCTAATTTTGTACGTGTAAACATTTATTACAAATATGAATAAATTTTTAAAATATATATCCAACCTTAAGTATTGATTATCAAATAAGACGTCTTATTTTAAATGAATTATAAAATGAAATGCTGAAAATATATATCTAATCATAAAATACATATATATATGTTGTTTAATTGTACTAGGACTTCTTTAAAACTAAAATAAAATCTTTTATATTAAATGTTTAACAATTAAAAATTATTTACATAAATGAAAACACTAAGTGAGAAAAATATAAAATTAATTAAAAATAATTGTCAAAATAATAAATAAATTTTATTTTTTTAAATACAATATATAGTTAAAAATATGTATATAAATAAAGGGATTTAATATTTTTCCTAAGAAACATTTTTGTCAAAAAAGTATAATTAACGAAATTTACTTTCAGAAAGTTTTAAATTTGTGAATATACACTGACTAAAAAAAAATTAAATACTATTTGACAATAATCAAAATTCAAAATTATTAAAATTTTATTTTAAGATATGATGTTTCAACAAAAAAATAATAGTATAATGTTTTTTTAAAAATAAAGTAAAAATTTAGAAATTTGAAAAACTATAAGTTAATGCATTAGACTGTTGAAATGGATGTTTCCGTATTATTCTGAAATGTAGTATGAACACCATAACGAATATGTCTGCCATGGGAACTTAAATTATTTCTGTATAAATAAGCAACAACAAACAAACCAATAGCTATTTAAAAATAAATTTATTATAAATAAATAAATAAATAAAATAAATTTAAATTAATTTAGCTTAAATATAAGTGCTAACTAGGACATATTTTAATTTTAAAGTATTTTTGGCAAACTGAATTTCTCATTTTTTTATAAATTCTCAATTTTTTATCTATCTATAATTTTCTGTTTATAATAAATTAAGTTTTTAACTTGAATTATTTAAAAACATAAAAAAAGAGCGTAATAAATATACAGCACTACATTGAGTTAAATTAGGTTTGAAAAGTTTTTACAAATGGTTATACTAATGTACATTAGAGAGCTTATTCCCCTAAGTAAAAATTTTATGCATTTCTTTTAGATTAATTAAAACTGTAAAACAAAAATTCAACTATTGTTATAGAATAAATATATAGATTTAAACCTAAGTATTTACTCTTATTATACAATTAACCATTATTTCTATAATTTTAAATTAATACAAATAATAAGTTCTAAACAAGATTTTTAGTCTAAAAAAGCATAATAAGCAGATGCACCCCAAGTCAATTACAAACTGGCGAAGAGATGGACTACAAAATCAAACAGTGTGATGAGCTGCAAGTCCAATTTTCCAGTTTCTTAAAATTATTTAAAAAAATAATATATATGGTTTTTTCATATAATTTTTTCATTTCTCCCCCCTTTATACTTAAAATACGAGTGCAGTATAATATTTATAAAAACACATTTGGGACATTTGTACTGGATCCACTCGTAAGAAGCAAAATAATTTAGATTTAAAACTTTATTAATAATTAATGACTTTTTTTGCTTACTTTAGTATAATTATAGTAATATAAAGGGTCCAATATTTTAATTTATATCAAATTAAAATATTTAAATACAAATTGGTAAATCAAGGCCTGCACGAGTAGAGTACAGAATAGTAGAGCTGGTGTAAAATGTAGGATCAATAAAAATTGTGTTTTTAATATATTTTTTGAGACTAGTTCAACATGACTTTACCCTTTTCTTTAAACATTTTTATTCTATAAATAACAAATTTTCATTATGTTATGATTGAATCAGAAGCTGTATTACAATTTATTACACTTTTTTTGTTCTTCACCTCAGTTTTATTATAAATACTTATAATATTATGAATATTTAAAATAAAAGATTTATAAATATTATAAATTAATATTTATTTAACTTCAAAAAAACATAATTCTACACATATATTTAAAAATTGATACTTATTAAATTATTTTAACTTACCAAAAATTATAATAGAAGAAAAAACTCCAAAGTAAAAAGCTTTTGTATCATTGAAATCATTATGCTCAACTATATAGATAAAAAGAAAATGTTAATTATTTCACTAGTAATAAAATTAATTAAATCACTAACTCGAATTGGTGAATTTAGATACTTCTTGAGTGGACATATTTTTATTAGAATAAAAGGAAGTCATTAAATTTGAAAATGTTGATGAACTGACAGTATGATTCAATACAAATTCTGTTCTACTTGTTAGTTCCCTATTTTTTTCCGTGATTGAACTATTATTATTTATCACTAGAGCAGTGTTTGAATTGAAAAGAGGCTCTATTATTACAGTAGTAAATTTCTTATTATTTTCTATGGAGAATACTTCAGCTGTATTTTGAAGTTTATTCGTAGAAACTTCACGGCGAATTTTAATTGCATAATTATGTCCATCTTTTTTAATTTTATTGTCAAATGTCAGGTTTTTTTCTTTTAATAATATATTGTTAAAATCATTTAAATTTTCGTTACATTTTTTGCAATTTGATTGAAGAAAATTGTTTATTATACAGCATGTTGATAATTTGACTGACATATCATTGAAATGATATTCAAGTTTTTGATTCGAGTGGTTTAATGAAAGACCATTGCTTCTCGCGGTACTTACTTTCAGCAGAAAGTACAAAGACACTAATGATAATTACATATTTTATTGTAATTCAAATCGATTATTATTATTGAAAACAACAAAAGAAAATTAATGGTCATTATTGATATAGATAGATAATAAATTTAAACTTGCATTTTTTTTCCAAGAAATCAAAAATTTCTAAATGGAAATTTTTTTTAAATAGTAGAACTAAGTTAACTAATTATTTTACACAAATTATATTATACTGCATCTTTAAAAAAAAATGTAAAATTTGTACTCTTCATTTTAACTTTTAGAAATAAATAAAATTTTGCCATTGTTTTCAACCCATTTATTTTTAAAATTCATTGGAACACCAATTTTGCTCAATTTTAAAAGTAATATCAATAATTATTATTTGAAATTAAAATATTTAATATTATAAATTTATTTAATTTACTTACATAATGTCAAAAAAGTAGAAGCCATATTTAACAGATGATATTAGGAATTTAGATTAATTTGAGATTCAAAATGTTTAAAAAGTAAAATTAAACTATGTTGAATTTATTAAGAATCGGAATATTTAGCTAATATAAATTCAAAGGAAGAAAATAAATATACTAGTCAAGTGAAAGGAACATTAAAATAAAAGACAATTGGCCATTGTCACAAATTTTTTTGAAAACTACCTACTACACTCATCGTTGATTTTGTTGTCTTCCTAACAAAAATAAATCAACGGTGATTTTATTTGGAAACTTAATCGAAATAATTTAAAAAGTAAGATTAGTGATGGGCATAATCGAGATATATAATCGAGATATCTCGATTATGAAAATAATCCAGATATTTCGATTATTGAAATCATATCTATTATATAATCGAGATATTCTGATTTTTTAAATAATATTGATTATTCTATAATCGAGTGATTATTTCTAATGATTTCTCGTTTATTATAAAAACAATGATTTCTTGATCTTGAAATGTATATAATCGAATAAAAGTTATTTCGAATGATGTCCATGAAACGATGAAACGAGAGAATACTATTTTTAAGTTTTTATTTAGCATAAATTATAGTCGAATTATTATTAAATTGTTGACTTCGAGTCTTCTTATTTTCAACTCGTTCAATCGCTACTCATGGCAACACCTTATCTGTCACATTTTTGGGAAGTATGTGACGATTAGAACAAAGTTTTGTCCTGAACTGGCTAAACTACTGAGTTCTGATTCTCTCACTAGTTGTGAATTTATGAAAAATCAATTAGGTGTGGAATTAGGTGTTTTAATTATGATGGTCAAGCAGGCTATTGCTACCTTATCTTATGTTTTTATTTTTAAATTTGTTATCGGTTTTTTTAAAATATAGGTAATAATTATTAAATAATAAAAATAACAACTTGTCTTTTATTTAAAGCACTTATTAATAATGCATTATTAATATATTATTGTTATTATTATTCCTAAATTATAGTTTAATATAATAATTATAAATAAACACCAACAAATAAAAAAAGCAAAATTAAATTAATAATTATTTACTATAGGTATATTTATTCATATTTCGAATAATTTTTCGATTCTCTCGATAAATAATAATAGTTGATTATTCTTATCATACGAGCAGACGATTTTAACTTCGAGTGATTTTTCGAGAGATTCACTCGATTATGAAAATGTCTCGATTACTAATCATTCGATTATCGAAATCATTTGATTATGCCCATCACTAAGTAAGATTATAAAAAATAACTACTTATGACCACTTTTTGGATAGAATCATAATAATGGATAAACATAATAATATAGTAACGGGGGTAATGGAAGGGTAAATATCCCCACTATTCTACGTTCTAAAAATTATGTAGAACCCTTCCATACACAATTTCTAAATACGCCGCTATATCAGAAAAACAGTAAATGTACAATGTATGTAAATCTTCCAGAAGTGCCAAAATTTAGTCTTATTTTACGTATACACAATTATTTGCATAGTCTCTAGTATCTAGTTAAAATATGAAATATAGTAAAAATTACAGTTACTATTTTTTTCGATTATTCCCAACTTTATAATGACTTATTCAAAATCAGACTAATACCACAGCACGATATTCCCAATATTAGGCAATTGTTAGTCTAAAAATTACGGTGAATCAAATATCAAATAATATTGTAAAAAAGCGTATCGGCCCTAAACTTTCCAATGTTTTTTTGTACATTCATTTTTAGGAATTAGAACAATCCACACTTACCTACATACCAAAATAATAGGCAAAAATACAAACAGAAACTACCATAAATGTATATATGACGTAATTTGTTTTGCTACATTATGCATAGTCTTATTTTTATATTACTAAATAAAATATGATTTCATTAAACGTCAATTTCTTTTATGATATATTTACATAAAGTACCCGATGTAATGAAGTTAAATATTAAATAATAACACAAAGTAATATATATGTTTAATATTATAATATTGATTATTTGGATTACTCATCTGTGTATACACTTTTATTTAACTCCATACAGACAATACTACTCATAGATATTTATACTTATTCTAAATTTTACCTTATATAAATATGTACAAATATATTGAATTTTTATAAACGTAATTTTAATGTTAATACTATAGTAAAACCTTAAAATTGAAATCATGTCGTATAAAAACCAAAATTCACAAAAAACAAATTGTGAAAACGACATGACCAGAAAATAAAAAAACTGTACGAATAAGTGTCAGTTTTTATATAAAGGCAATAAATATCAGTAAACAGGATTAACGTTTCGACGATGAGTATCTCTATAACGGGCAGACTCATTAGCGTCTATTTGTTAATATTCGTTCTGGCATTACTTGAATTGTTTATTATTTAGAGCAGTGATTCCCAACCTTTTTGACATTACGGACGACTGAGAATTTTTAAAACTTTTAAATTTTAGACCTTATTTTTTCTCATAAACACAGTGATTAAAATAAGGGGGGATCATTTATTCAACCGGCAAAGATGGATGGACTAATATTGCAAAAAGACAATTCGGTATGGCTCGGGAACACTCCTAATGTTTTAGGAACTATAGTCCCCCCTAGTTTAACCACTTAATTCACTTTAACCACTGCATAAAAAAGAATTAATTTTTTCACATACATTAAAATTAAAAATAAATAAAATACAATGCAATTCCTTATAGTATATTTCTTTATATAATAATAAAAACAAGTAAATAAGTCTTTGCCTTTGTACTTCTTTTACCAATATTCTTGGCGTAATATTGCTCAAAGCATATCTTTAGTGGCATCCAATCGATTTCTTTGTTTATTTTTAATGTAAAGCAGTGCAGAAAATCCTTGTTCACACAAATAAGTAGTGGAAAACATAACTAAATATCTTAATGCGATTTCTCGAAGTTTAGGATAGGCAATTGCTTTTTTACACCAAAACTTCAATATTCATAAAAGATTCAAACTTATCCTTACAGTTTCGATCGTTTTGCAACTTTATCAAATCATTCTGGATATCATCAGGCACCTCAACAACTTTAACAATAAAAGGGTTTCGAATCATACTTCGGACACCTTTCGTTTCATAACCATCATATTCTAGGAAATACCGGTTAAATTCATCTTGAAGTTTATGCAAATGGTATAAAACGTTTTGCTGAATTTCAGTTGTGAGGTCAGCATATTTTTCGTTGTCGACCCATCTTTTCAGTATTTGAAACGTTGAGTTATTCATCTCAACTTTACTTATCCATAAATCAATTTTACAAATAAATGCACGAAGTATATCTTCAAATATAAATATATTTGCAGCGCCTTCAAATTTATGATTTTCAAAGCATTGTAATTGTAAATTAAGCCTGTTTAAATGCTAAAAGATATCGACAAGATAAGCCAAATGCATTTCTAAGTTATGATCACAAATATATTTCGATAAATCGATAATTTTTTTCTATTTAAAAACACTATCACATCCTCCTTTAGTGAAAATAGTCGTGCCAACATGTTTCCTTTCGAAAGCCATCGGACTTCAGTATGAAAAAGTAAAGTTTCAAATTCAGAATCCAAGTCCGAGCATATTGTTTTAAGAATGTGAGTATTTAGTGCACTACTTTTAATAGAGTTTACTATTTTTACGGACTGTTTTAAAGTATATATGAGTTCTCCAGATAATGTTTTTGAAGCTAATGCTTGTCGATGAATTGCGTTGCTAGACCCGAATTTGATCCTAGCATAACTGGAGTTCCATCCGTACAAAATCCTGCGAGCTTTTCCCACATAATGTTGTGTTTTTCAAAATAATCATTTATTATCTTCATTACATCACTTCCTTTCGATGTAGTGTAATAAACCAAAAATAAAACGAAAGAAATTGTTTTAGAAATGAATATAATAGAAATGGTTAAGTTAAATATAAAAATACATTTTGGTGGCTACTTTTAAATTATTATAATTATTATTTATTATAAGTTTTTGTAATTTTAATGTAGATTTAATTGTCTTCAATTTTATTTAAATTAATTTTCTCATTAATTGTTTCTCTCATTAATTATTAATGGTTTATCACGCAATAGATTGTTGGAAGTTCGAAAGCATAGGTTAAATTGTACTTACCTTACGTCCTGTGTGATACAATAATATTTTAAGTAATCCAGTGTTGATTTCCGTATTAAACGCACTACGTATACGATTTACACTATATGTAATATAGTCTATATAATTGCTTACAAAAAACGACTCAAGACTTTACATAAGATGATTTAATTACACAAAGTCTAAGACTGATCTTACTTGTAAAAGATTTTAAACACTCTGTATTTTATTATAAAAACAATTCTGATTTTTTTTAACTTATTGATTTTTTTACGTTTATTGAATAAGTATTTTTTTTAGAGAGTATAATTTTTTTTATTGAGAGATCGATACCAATATTTCTTAAATTTTCCTCTGGCCTGGCCAAAACAAGATTCAGAAATATCTATATCTATGTAAAAAATTTATCAAGGCAGAATTGTGGTGGCCCAATGTGTCCCGGTGCTAAAATAAAGCACCTTGAAAGGATGCGGCACAATAATAACCAAGACAAAAATTAAACACTGCAAATATATTCGTAAGTTTCTCTACGTTGTCTGCCGGCGCGATGTTTATTAAAACAAAGACATTAGCAACGAGACTAGCTACCCAATACGCATAGGCTTACAAATATATTCTAACCTAATATACCTAATTCTAGAACAATGTCTAGTTGCAACCTTTACTCTGTCTGCCGGCGCGATGTTTGTTAAAACAAAGACATTAGCAACGAGACTAGCTACCCAATAAGTATAGAGTTGCAATACACTTAGTCAAATAAATTTAAATCTCAATTTAAATTGAGAAGATTGTGACCTTTAGCTTTGTCTGCCGGCGCGATGTTTGTTAAAACAAAGACATTAGCAACGAGACTAGCTACCCAATAAGAAAAGCTCACAATAAATTTTTATTATTAAATGAATATCTAAATTTAGGTTGGATTTATTGTTAAAATAAAATAATTTAAAAAAAATATAATGTTTAAAATATTATTTGATGTTTATTTTCATAACAAGAAAAATAAAATATTATTAATGATTGAACAAATTAAATTAAATTAAAAGATTCACCAAAACAAAATTCACTTTAAAATTTCTAAGTGTCATTTAGTTTTAAAGAAAAATATTCTAAGTCCAAATTAATTAAAAAATCGACTAAGTCCCGGAGAGTGAAATCTTGAGTAGAGCGTCGTAGATTTTGTGTATTTTAAAATCGTCAAAAGAACTCGTTTAGATGGGGAAAAATGGCTTTTTATAGTGTGAAGGGGGTAGCCCAGCGATCTCTATCGTGATCCTAGAAGCTGAGGCTTTGTATTGTAATTGGTTAATTAAAAGAGGGTCCCTGCGTGTAGGCGTTACTTAATAATTTCTACAAGAGGGAGATTTTATTGTATAATTAAAGGGTTATTTTGTGTCTTAAATAAGAGAACCCTGTTTTGGTGATCTTGTATAATCATAATATGTGACATACATGAACAAATGATAACATCTTATTATATATTAATATTATATGTAATAATATAATATTACAGTAGTACCCAATTCTTGTTGTATTAAAAGCTCTTCTTTAATTGTGTTGTCCTCGTCCAAAAATCTAACAAAAACTAGTAACTGACAACATTGTGAAACTTTAGTATTTTTATTACATTGCAATGCGTAAAAAGGCGAGTTTTTTATTTTTCCCAATAATTGTTCTTCAATATCGAAAGACATTTTATCAATGTGAGCTTTCACGGTGTTATTCAATAATGGAATTTCTTGCATTTTATTTTTAGCTTTCTCGCTTAAAACTTCTTCAACAGCGTTTAGTAAACAAGGTTTTAATAACTTTTCACCGATAGTGTGTGGTTTTTTGATTTTGCGATTAATTATACAATTTTAAATGACGCAGATAGCACTTATCCAAATAATTCAAATGTTGAACCACTTTTTCCGAGTTTCATTTTTTTTAAATTATCTGACTTACCCATTAAAAATTTCAGTGGTCGAACACTCAATTTAGGATGGACAGTTTTTCAATGCCGTTCTAACTTAGTGGGTTTCAACGCATCGTTACTAAGAACGATGGCACATATAACACACTGTGGTCGGGTTTCACGGTTAATTTAAATTGCAATAAATCCAAATTTGATATAGGCTTCATCAAATTTTCTTTTTGGAGCAATTTCATTTTAAGTTTTAATACAAATACACGAACAATCAAAAGATCACAGACATCGACCACATAGTACGGATACGGCGCCACTAATAATTTTTAACATAAATTTATAAATAAATGATGTAATATAAACGTGCCGTGCTGTGGAATCGGTGATAACGATTGTCGGTACATAATAATTTTAACAGATCCCAATGGAAAAAATATTTTTTAATTTTGTTGGTACCGCTCGCGGACCACCAAATGATGTCTGGCGGACGACGGGTAGTTCGCGGACCATAGGTTGGGAACCTCTGATTTAGAGCATGTATTGTTGTTGTCTTTTTTAAATAGAATAAAGTTGTTTGTAACTATTTTAAAGACTTGCTATTTGTATAAATTTCTATTTTATTTACATTATTTTTATTAATTGTGTGCGCGCGGCTAGAGTTTACTGATCCTTTAGTCAGTCCTAACAGCTAATGCAAGCTGTATAATTTTTGGGCTGAACCGTCTTTCAGTCTGTAAAGAGAAAAAGTAGTTGTGCTAGTGACTGACGAGTAGTCAACTATCAACAATGGCATGACCAGGGGAGGGCGTCCCTGGTCAAGACCCTCTATGGACAAAAAATCATAGTACTGGTAGTGAAGGGGTGAATCTTCCCACTACTTTACGTTCTAAAAGCTATCTGGACCCCATACAAAATTTCTTATTTTTCTACTGTTCCTCAACTTTCTATTTTTTATTTAACTTGTGTGGTATGCTGCCGTATCTGAAGGCTACCTCTTTAGTTTGATGGATTGTGCTGATTGATCTATGCGGAACAACTAATTGTGCGTCTATTGAGAAAAAGCTCTTGTTATCAGTGATTTTGACATAATTTTTATCATTAATTCATTACATTTTTTTTAGGATCTAGGTAAATTTTTATTTTAAAAATACCATACCTCTTATCCTTCTATATTTTTAAAGTAATTTAAAATATCGACACAAAAGAATTGTGTACCCTACATTGATTTTTATAAAACAAAATTAAAAAATACAAATGCATTAAAGTTACATTAAATTATTAAGTTGATTTTGGGTTTTTAAAGTACTTAATATTTTTTAATAAAATGATGACCAATTTACTATTCACTATATATATATAAAAAAAAACAAATTTAAACGTTAATCCATCATATGATTCATTGTAAAACTAATCTATATATTTACACTCCTGCTTATATATCACCTTCACCTACATTAAAATGACTGGTTTACTGTAATTCAGTTCCACAAAATAATGTTGGAGGAGACAGAGGTGGAGTAAGGGTAGCAACGTGGCATTATTTTTATAAATAATTAATGGTTTATTCAATCAATTTTTTCATTAAAGGGATAAATAGTATACCTTATAAAAGTCATATATTTGCGCTTATTTTTCTAATTTTTGAATTTCTATAACAATTAAAGTTATTACCATTATTGTACAACATCGAGTACTTTGATAGTAAGTAACAATAAATACTTGATACAAATCCATTCATATACTATCAGTGGCGGTCAAATTGGAGGGAATTAGGGAGATAGAAACCTCCATTGACATACCCTTTTTGATATTTTTATAAAATTTTTAATATGTATATAAATATATATATATTGGCAACTTTATAAATTATAATTTAGTGTAAAAGTTATTGAACTGAATTAATGGTAAAATTATTTTATAATTATTAAATTTTCCCTACAAATTTAAGAGATTTGTTATAATCTGGTTATTATTTATATTAAGGTGAATTTAACGAAGTACTATTATAAAATAAATTAAATATTTGAAATAGGCTCAATATGAATAAAGACATTTATGCTTATCTAATAGTTCTTAATAATACCACAGATAAGATAAAGTTTTATCTTATCTGTTATAATATCTTGATAAAGTAATACAAATAAATAAGTTCTGCGATATGTGGGCACAGCTTCCAATAAAAACCGAATACTATCATCTAAATAATAATACATTAAAGTTTATGATTAATAAAAATTGCTTTATTTGGTTTTAGACAAATTCGTAGCACAGATAAGATAAACCTTATCTGTTAGTTCACTAATTTGTACTCGTATAAGGCTATTCGATTGAATAATACTGATAATAGAGTCACGTTCATTTCTACAATGACCATGAAATAATATTACTTGCAACAGCAAACTACATTCATTTTATACACTTCTTCACATATTGTGGGTGTTTTGATGCATTCATAAACTTACTAGTTTATTAAGTTTTTATTTTTATTAAAGTATATCTATATCTAAAGTATACTGAAATGGCAAATTCAACTATAGAAGTGAAATTTAATCAGGTATTCAATCATATAAAAAAATTAAGTTATTGTTATAAAATATATTTCTTATGATGTCTTTAAAGTTAGTTTTTAAATCATTTTATTACAATTTTACTGAACGAGTTATGAACTAAAAATGAAAAATTCATATAATATTTTTTCTTTTACTCGTCTGGTTTGGACAAATATATAACGTGATATTAATATAAATTAGAATATTTTTATCAACGTACGTCACATTATGCTAAAATAGATATACATATATATATATATAGGCAAATAATATTTGGATGGGATTCCCTAATTATTTATGTCGATTAGAGTTTTAAATTGGTTAGAAATTTAGGTAAAAGAATCCATTTATTATTATTTTTTTTTGTGGAAAACTTAAACTTTATATTATATGTATTAGTATGACTTTAAATTATATACATATCTGTTAATTACTTTTACTAATACTTGAAAATTTTTTTTCTCTCCGTTAGGTTAAATTCATTCACAATAAAGAAAAAAAAAACAATTGCAGCACTTTTAATTTTTACTATCTTGAAGTAAATGTTAGAGCATAACAAACAATTATTTTCGTCATGGGATAATTCCCTTAAATCCACAAACACACTTGATAATAAACAACATAAACAAAATTATGCATAATATAATATGAAACCATAATTCGAAGTGTACAGATTAATTTATAATAACCGGAAGGGGAAGTATTATTTTTCACCATAATTTAATTTATATTGTCAATTTTTTTTTTTGATAAAATCACTTAATAATAAAATGTACGGTCAAATAATATATATTAGGATTCGTCAACGATATCGATATTTTGATTCGATATCGCCGAATTAATCTTGTAGACATATTTTGTATTAAAATATATTATTAAATATAGAATTGAGAGAAACTAAAAATGATATTTATTAATGCATTTTTAAGTTATAATCCACTATTTAATATTGTAATATTACACGTATTTTAAGTTTATAAAGTAATTTCTTGACTTGATTTTTTTTTTTATTGATGTAGAATATATTTATTAATCAAAATAAAGTAATGATATATAATTTTATTTTTGCACACAATTTTGGTCATGTATTAAATTAAAAAAAATTGTGTTTGCAGTAAAAGTTTAATGTATTTTTAAAAAAATACATTTTATACTTATAGAAATTAATGAGGTTTATTCATTAAGTTTAAATAATTAATCCTATCATTTTTTTGTAATTTTAGAATATTTCATAAGTTATAAGATATTTATTTCATTTAGTATATTTTGGAATATTTTGTTATCTACGGGGAAAAAATTATCATATTTACCAAAGAATAGTAATACTTATAATAGTAACATAACACTTATAAAATATTCATATCACAACTACGAAAATCGACTACTGTAACTTTATTTGCAGTTATAAAATAAATTTTATATAAAATGAAATGAGTTTTTGAAACAAAGATATTTATTTTAAACTAAATCTCGATTTAAAATAAAATGTTTTATATTATTATATTTTACATTCTCACCTATTTAAAATAATTATTTTTTGTGATTTATTTACATAAAAATGTATCCATTATCTATAATAATGTGACAGTTAATTTTAGGGGAATTTACTATCGTCATTAGGGAAGTTTATCATTTTAGACTTTATTTAAGTTTTACATAGAATGTAAATGTTTAAACCAGCATTAGCCAATGAGTATCATAAACGTCGATCATTTCCCAGTTACATTAAAAACGTTGAGACCCCCAAAATATCGCCCAAATTACGCCACTTTGTTAAATCATGAAAATTAAAAACAGTACAGTAATAACCCTGCATAGTAAAGATCCGGTAAAGTAGTATTTACTAAGTAGTACTTAGTAAGTACTAATACTAAACTAACTAAACTTTAAATGTAAAATTTTAGACCCAATCCAATTCAATATTTATTTTCCAGGTCCGGTTCGACCAATCCAAATATATGTGTAAAATTTCAAATCCAATCTGACTCGGTCTATATAAAGATTAACGGTATCTGTTACCTGTAATCGAATTTTTAAAAATTATTAACCGATATCCAACACCCAATACATTAGAGAATCGGTTAACGTTCATTTTCTTTATTTTATTGATTTTCCCCAAAAAAAATGATAATTGGCAACCGCTTTTTACAAAACAAATAATCTTTTACAAATACCGGTTATAATTTTAAATAAAATTCGATTTTTACCTGAATTAATAACCTTTATTTTGCAATGGTTTCAAGGCCAGATATAAAGTTGAATCTATAAAATATAAATTCGAACATTTTATCACTAAAGTACTTTGTTTTTAATTAAGGCGGCCATCTGAACTCAGAAGATAAGTCGTCGAAAACGAGGAAAATTTTTTCAATTTTCAAAGGTTATTTTGACTAGATATAATTTGTGATCTTTTAAAAATTTTTTGATAATTTATAATGATAGATACAAAAATAAAAACCCAGCACAGGGGGGTCGCGACAGTGGTGACGTGGCATAGTTGGATCAAGTATAATGATATCTGACAGTGATTAAAATCACTATAAAAAAAAAACGCTTCGATGCAAATCTTTAGATAGTGTTTAATTTTAAAAAATTGGTGGATTATTCCAAAAGCTTCATAAACTGCTAGTTCCTTATTAATATCCTGATTAAGATAAAGTATGTCGAATGAAAAAGGGATTATTAAAAAATACTATTTCTCATAAAAAAATTGTGTTGATCCATACACTTTTCAATAAGTTATAGCATTATAAAGTTAAAAATGTAAAAAATGAAATTGAGAATTTTCACACAATAATAGCATTTGGTAGCCATTTTCACCGTGAAGACAAAATAAAGTCCGAAATTTTTTTTTTACACAATAAAGTAGATTACATTAGCTTTAATTTAATATATATATAAAAGTGTCAGACTTTCCGGAACACTTTCAAAATTTAAGTTGAAAAAGTCAATTTTTTGTGAAAAAGTTGTCATTTTGAATCCCCCCCTGTAGGCAGGTAAAAAGTCAGATTTATAAAAAAAATATACCAAATGATAGGTAAAGACATCATGCATCTACAAAAAAAAGAATTATATTGATCCATACATCTTTCGAGAAGTTATAGCATTATAAAGTTAAAAATATAAAAAAGAATTTTTTTACAAAAATCGTATTTTTTTTATTAAGTTTAATATCTGTTTTCATCATGAATATAATATAAAGTCCGAAATTTTTTTTTACCATTATAAAGTATATTACATTAGCTTTAATTATGGATATATATATAAGTGTCAGACCTTCCGGAACACTTTCAAAAGTTAAGTTGAAAAAATTAATTTTTTGTAAAAAAGTTGTCATTTTAAATCCCCCCCTGTAGGCAAGTAAAGAGTCACATATAAAAAAAAATATACCAAATAAAAGGTAATGATATCATGAATCTATATAAAAAAAAAATATATTGATATGTTTTTTTGAAACATTTTTCATTTTTGAAAAAGTTATGGCACTTTAAAGTAAAAAAAATTGAAAAAATTTCGAAAATTAGCGATTTTTAAATTTGTAATTTTTTTGGAGGTTTCCCCCTTTTACGGGGAACGAGGGAATTTTTTTCAATTTTTAAGGGTAATGTCTTCGACTAGATACGATTTGTGATCTTTTGACGTATCATTGAAAGAAATCGGTTCGGTGAGAGCTGAGAAAAAGTGGTAACAGAAAAAAAAAAAAAAAAACACATCTTAGTAAAACCAATACCTTCTCAGCTTCGCATCGAAGCTAAAAAAACACATTGTGGTAAAATTAATTCATTCTCATCTTCACATCGAAGCTAAAACATTTATTTAAAGTATATGATTATATATATTTTAATTTAAAGTAAAAGGTACAATATAGATTACAAGTAACTTAATTCAAATTTTAGACCGGTTTTAAAACTGTACCGATCCTTTTTGTCATTCATTTTTCTTTTTTTTTTTTTGGGCTATTTTTTACTTTTTTTTTATTTCAATTAACACCTTATTCACATGTCATTGATGAAAGACATAAGTGTAAATTTAAGGGCGCTAGAGATCTTTACGTACATTTTTTTTTTATTTTAGAGGGCTACGGCAAATTTTAAAGAGTTTAAAGATCTCTAGCCCTCTAAATTTACGCCTATGATAAAAAAATACAACATGGATAATGGATAATTTAAATAAATTATTTTGCTTTCATTCTTATGCAAAATATTTTGTTTTAGATATTTATCAACAATACGTTTGTAAATTCAGTAAGCGGAAAAACATTCACCACGTTTAATCCTGCCAATAAACAAAAGATCACTGATATTTCTGAAGGAGATAAGGTAAAATGATGCGCTCATGGATGTTTTTTTTTTTTTGAGGCCGAGTGTCAACTTGGTGCTATATGCTCCTCTTGAAAAATTATTAATAAAAATTTTATTCAGACGACAAACAAATTTAGTCTTTTGACTGATAGACTTTTTTTTAACTTATTGATTGTTTTTCGATACGGTGCTGGACACCCCTTGGGTTATGTTGATATATCCCAAGGATGTAACCAGCACCCTTGCACTCCTCTTCAACTAGATACCACCTTTATTGGCAAATCTCTTAGAAATATTGAAGTATATGTAACTTACGATTGCATAACTTGCGTTTTTATAAAATTTGAATAGTCATTCGCTATTAATAAATTGTTATCATACATTTTATGTACATGAAATAAACCGTATGTATTTATATATTTCCCAATACATTTTTGACTTTGTCGATCACCAAAATAACATAGGGTGTTTAAGAAGTAAAGAAAATGGTCATTTCCATTGTTATAAACAATAGAAACTCTTTTTCTTACTTATTGAACACATTAATTTATGAACTTGTTTAATCAATTTTATTATTTTTCATTTATAAAATATTGATCTAATACTGTGTAGGCTGATGTTGACCTGGCCGTTAAGGCAGCAAGAAAAGCGTTTAAACTAGAGTCAAAATGGCGAACTATGGGTGCTACTGCTAGAGGCCATTTAATAACAAAATTAGCTGATATAATAAATGTTCATAAAGTTGCTTTGGCTAATTTAGAAACTTTAGACAATGGGAAACCATATGAAGACTCTTTAACTGATATTAACAATGCTGTTTCCGCCTTAAAATATTATGCTGGGTTTGCGGACAAAATTCACGGAAAAACAATTCCTACAAGTAATTACAGTAATTTGTCTTAATAAATTAACTACTTTAATTAAATGAAGAAAGTTTACATGTCCAGTAGAAGAATAGTAGGAGATAGATTCCAAGGACATAAGATAGTGACTTAGGTCACTAAAAAGGTAGTTTTTACGATGACTTTAATTTAATGTCGAATTAATTAAACGACTTAATTGTACCAAATGAATGACTGATATTGTATGTATTAATTACACCACCATATTCAACGTAAAAATATACGTCAATTCGTGAAATATAGATATACTTGATTTAAATATAACTGTGATTAAAATGTAATTATAACAAATATTTTAACGAAATTTCGAAATTTAAACATGTTTTTTTCTATAAACGGTTATCATTGTCTATTTAATGGTTATAATTTCATAAAGGCTAATAACAAAAAAAAAATTATAGTGAAAATTCAGTTTAATTTTGTTATAAATAAGTATTATAATCAACTCTAAAAGCCTAAAAAGTAGGTTAAACTTGTCGCAACAGTCTCCAATTTTGTACAACTCTTATATGATGATCAAAACAAATTTGATAAGTTTTAAGAAAATAAGTTTATTTATATTTTTTATGAAGTTTTATGTATGTAACTATCGTTTCATTACTAATTATTAATTATCTCAGAAACTAGATGTGATGGAACAAATTTGGAACCACATTTGAAATTAGTTACGAAATTCCATGAATGATTCATTTAAATATTGTAAACCGCAGAATTTTTTTTTTGTCCTGTGGTATTGCCTAGACCATTGCATTATTTTTAAATAGAAAACTATTATTTAATAATATAATAAATACATTTTTCTAGATGACCTAAACTTTGCATACACCTTAACACAACCTGTTGGTGTAGTTGGTCAAGTCATCCCTTGGAATTATCCTATTTTATTACTCGCTTGGAAATGGGGTCCAGCACTTGCAGCCGGTTGTACTATGGTATTGAAACCAGCTGAACAAACACCTTTAACAGCGTTGTACATAGCAGCTTTATCAAAAGAGGTACTGTTATGATTAAAATAGAAATAGTTATTATATTTAAGATTCTTCAGGTAGGATTTCCTGATGGTGTTATTAATGTCGTTCCGGGATATGGACCAACAGCTGGTGCAGCTATAGCTAGTCATCCGGATATTAATAAAGTGACATTTACTGGTTCTACAGAGGTAAATAAATTTAATATACTTAGCATTAGTGTATATATTTTAGCTTCGATGCGAAGGTATTGATTTTACTATGATGTGTTTTTTTAGCTTCGATGCGAAGCTGAGAAGGTATTGGTTTTACTAAGATGTGTTTTTTTTTTTTTTTTT